CATGGACACTGACCTGTGGAAGTAAGGATCATCTGTGAGGTTTAACAATAGATTTCATGGGGCCAGACTGGCTGCTTGCTCTCTCTGCAACTGTGCTAAAGAGCTTACTTGCTGCTCCTACCTATCTTACATAGTCAGGAACCTATGTAGGCAGCTTTCTCTGGTCTCCCTATGGTAAATATACTCACATACTTGGTAATTAAAATGCATCAGTAACTGGGTCCTACACTAGCCGCTGCCATTTACTCTGTCTCCTTCCCACTCACTTCAATTCAATGATCATGGTTTTTTTTATTATAATTGTCAGATGAAGTCTAATGTGTGGTATTTTACATTTCAAAAAAATTTGAATATACCATGACTTACATGCTTTTGAATCTTGCATAAGAGGTATGGATACTTGGGTCTGCCTTGCTTTCATTTCAGTCACACCAACAGTTTTCAACCTTTGTAGGCATCCTGAAGATTATTTGCTGTAGAATGAAGAAAGTAAATTCAGTATTATTCTGCACAGCACTGAGACACATGGCTTTTCTATTCAGATGGTTCTGTGGCCTTCTTGAGTGAATGGAGTGACAACATTTTTCTGTACAATAAGACATTATTTTCATCTTGCAACTGTAAAATGGGGTACAACAGAGGGAGGACAGGAATCCTTTAGGAATATCTGCAGCCCCAGGAACTCAGATAACTGCCTTGGCCTTTGCTTTATCAATTATATTTCTCTTAGTTCTTATGCTGCATGTAGCTAGACATTTGGGGAAATGCTATGGTCACAGTAATAATAATCATCATATTTTATGTTCATGTTTTGTCTTAGATTCACAGCAGTTTGTGCATTTAGATTAACCATTTAGCAGTCTTGTAAACCATTATTATCAGCTCCCAGAGTAGCCCTGTAAAGTATGCTTTCTCCTTAAAGTCTTCATTGTCCCTCCTAGGAGATACGCAGCTGGCATGTCAGCAACAGTTTCTACTTCTGTTTTAGAATCCTTGTGCCCCTCCGAGTTCTCCACTCTACCTACCTCTGGCCTTTTTTTTGTTTCTAGATTATTGACCCTGAGGGGCAACATCTGCAATGTACTCTCCATTAACAGTATGTCCCGATCTGTGACTCATTCTTCCCATGTGACAACTGTGATACAGATGCTTTTCAACAGTGCAATTCCATTTTCTCCATTTCTGACATACAGTGAAATTAGACAAAGGAGAATCAGCCCCTACAACAGGGAGGAGAAACTAAGTTTTTCCTACATGACTGGTACTTGCTCTCGATCTGAGTTTTATAGCCATGTTAGGTTGCTTAAACTACTTTAATTTTTCTTCCTCTCAGTTAGCAATATTAACTGCTTTATTTCAGCAAGGCATCCAAGTTAGGTGGAGCTTTGGGGAAAGGTACTAAATTTGTTCCTTAAAATGCACTTTTTTCTTGCAAATGTGGTTACATGAAGAAAGACATTGTAACTGTTGTTATAAGTAGAGGGAGTCTTTCAAATGTGGTGACAACTCAGGGTGATACATAGATTTATGTAAGGAGACTACAGAAAGTAGAACACATGAGGAAAAGCCTGTAGAAATACTGGGTAGATGTAAAAAACGGAAGACCAGAACTATAAGCAATGAAGAATAACTTGGAAACAATTAAGAAAATATTAAGAGTGAATAATGAGTGAAAAGGTTCACTGTGAGGTGGAACTGTTTCACTGAAGAAGGGTTTAGTTGTAAAGTACAGCCCCACAGTATGAAGAAAGCTCTGGTTTTGAACCCAGTTCTATAAAGTAAAATCAAGTATACACTTACATATGGTTAATTTTGTAAAGCCTTTTTGTTTTCAAGCTAGTTACTTACTAAATTATTTGAAATATTAAAATCCAGTCAGATAACCCATGTATGAAATGCTTTTTAACGGTTCTAGTTACAGGGCTGTCCTCTAGTTCTAGGGTTAAAGTTTACTCAGTCAGTAATCATCCTTGAAATTTACTGATCTTATAAATGGCAAGGTTTAGAAGTCTGACTCACTTGGGGGCTCCAGAAAACACTGCTTCTTATAAATATTTTTTAGTTACACATGGAGGTTAACTAACCATCTGTGCAGAAATCAAACAAATGAAAATTAAAAAAAAAAAAAAAAGAAGGTTTTCCTGTAGCAAAGATGATTTCTATATTTAAACAACATTAGGAGTAAATTATGTAACTTTTTTGATAGGACTTGAAGTTACCAGAAATCAGGTAAAAATGCTAGTTAGTTTGGTGAGGAAATAAAATGTCACAGAAGAAAATTGGAATCACTTACAACAAAGCTGACAGGCAGAGGAAAATTCCTTTTTATTAGCACTCTGTAGATGTGGGCTGTTTCTTCTCTATTCATTAAGGAATCAAATTTTCATTCTATGCTATAAAAAAGAAGCATCTATCACCATTTTCCTGTACAGTGGTATGTGATACCAATACTGCTCCCTGCATCCCCACAGCAGGAGACCAAAGATGCTCAACTGGTAACCAGTGTCCAGGGGTGACTGCAGTGCAGGTTAGTGCAGTGAGCAAGCCAACAGAGAGGGAGGGTCACCCCAAACAGAGCCATTTGACAGGGTGACTGAAAGGACGTCATTATTTACTAACACTGGCTTTCCTCTTTAAAACTTTTTATAAGAGAGATTAGCAACAAACAGCATAAATTAAAATGCTGTTTTCCAAACTTCTGGATTGATTGAACACTCATCCATGATGGTTCTGAGCAGAGAGTGAAAAGGAAACAAATCTCTAAAAGAAGCTGAGGGAATCGGAATGATCGGATTTTGGCCAGGATGCCAATCAGGAACGCCATGCAATGCTAGATTTCAACAAGTAAAGCCTTATGTTGCTTTAATATCCTTCCCCCAGGGAAGTCTCAAAGTGTTTCTTGATTGTAAATTCCAGTTCTGCAAGTAATTCTGCCCTGTGCTTTCATGAAGCCCTCCTGGAGTTGATAAAGCTCTAGAAGGATTCAGGAATCTGATCATATCGAACAAATTGCATGACTGGGGCCTTTGAATCAATAAAAAAAGGAGTACACAAGAATTATTTCATATACCACTGCAATAAAGGTAAAAGAATTCCAGTATCAATCAGCCAGGCAGATAAGTTTAATATTACAATGTCCTTACATTTAAGAACCATATTCCTAAAAACTAGTCATGCCAGTTAAGAAAACCATTCAGTAAATGCACGGATTTGAGCAAGTCCATAACCTCTACTGAGTTAGGTAAGCTGGCCCTTAGCTTCTTGTCTGTCTTTAGGTTTGCACCAGGAAGAAAGGAAACCCTAATGGCAGGTTGGCATATTAGTAGATGGAAATCTTTGAGATCTGTAGAAGAGGTAGACATACTCAAAGATTCTTTTTATACCCTCCCTCGCCCCCCATTTTACTATCTGATTTATCCCCAATTCAAATGCAAGATTATGTCAAACACCAAATATCCAAAGTAAATGCATGCTGTGAACACAGGCACAATAATAAAATGGTAAATATGAAGCTTGATTCGAGAACGAAAGAATGGTAAAATTAAAAAAAAGTCAGTATTATGTTATAAAAAACAGGCCCTTTCAAAACTTTTTAGATTACCTGTGAAAATTAGAAGTTTACCTGATAAACAATTAATCACCAGTCCACTGTCTCAAGAAAGGGCCAGCCCTACATTAACAAATTGTTTTATCAATCACCAGAGGAAAGTGCTTGAAAGAATTACTAGTAGTATTAGGAGATTAAATGACTAGATGCTAATCCAAAGTAATCTTCTGGACTTCTCAGTAAACTGGGTACAAACAAACCAAGTGTGTTTGGCAAAATCAAAATTAATTTAGCCATTTAGGAAAAAAACCAACAACTTGGCTATACTCACCAGAAGGAGGACTCTAGCTCACGAAGCAAGGACTCTGAAAAATACTAGGTCATGGAGCAGCTGAATGAGAGTTCCTGGTACATCTTATGGCCAGAAAGACTAAAGACATCTTTGTGAATAAATATACAATAATTTCAGTTAGGAAATAAACTTGTACTGAAATGCAAACACTATCAATTCATCTATAGAATGAGAGACTAATTCAGAAGAGAGGCTGTCTAATACTCTCTGCAGCAGAATCTGCCTGAATGAATTCTTGTTGGAGCTGGAGTGTATTTCACAAAAAGCTTTCAGTTTAATTCAGGTATTTACAGATCAAGGGAGATGTTAAAAGGCAGGAGAAGACTTGAAGCACAGGCATGAGAAAGATTACATTCCAGGAACTGGAGATAAGCCTTTGCAACAGCCTTGGAAAGCACGATCTGCTTAGCCTGACACAGAGGAGGTTAAGGGATGGCCCCATCAGAGGGTACAAACAATTCAAGGGTAACAGACAACTCAATCAGACAGGAGTGAATGAGATCCAAAGGCAGAAACTGGAGTTAGGCAAATTCAGGTAATAAAAAGAAGTTTTTTAAAAAAAGGATAATTAACTGTTGGAACTACTTACCACATGCTAATATGTTTTCTTCAGCACTTGGGATTTCTCTCAAGAAACACTGTAGTTCAAAAATAGTTGTTTGACAAATATCCTGTCTGCCGCCTGATTACACAGACATAGATTTCCTGGGAATGGTAACAGTGACAATCACAACCCAGCCTGTACTACAAGAGCACAGTGGCATGGCAGCACTCTTCTCCTTGCATGGAGGGACCTTGTGCCTTTGGAGCCTAGGAACTCGGAATACTCGGTAAAAACGAAAGCTGAACAGGCTTGCCAGTGCCTGATTTCTGGCTTTTGCCTCAGATTGCCAGAGTTATCCAACTGATGCAAATTAATCCTGAAATCAAACTGAGTGAAATTTATGGCAGCAAAACAAAAGCTTGTGATGAACCAATGACCCTTCCCTGGTTTGCAACATGCCCCTTGCCCCTTGTTTCTTTTCTAGGCTTCAGTGTTTCCCACAGCATAACACTGAGGAGAGTACCCAAAAAGCACAAACAAGAATTCAAGCAAACGGATACTTTAGAAATAAGTTAATTTTATTGAATAGGCATTATAGCTTCTCTCAGTTTCAAATAATGGAGAAGCCAATTCACACAGATTACAGAGCTATCAGTTACTTTGAGTAATCTTTCATAAAAGAAAGAAATGAAATACAGTTCTGCTATAAAAAGTGCGACAGTTATAACTGGAAGTTTTTCAAAACAAAAGCAAGTTTTTCTACCTATTGCAAAAATTGGTTTAGTGCTTTAATACTTTACAAAGTAACAATCCAACTGCTAAAAACAGCTCTTACACATCATCTTTGTCAAAGTATGGATCAGATCAAAACTGACATTTAAATTGAATTTGAATGAAAACTGCATGTAGAAAAGGTTCTCAAGAACTCACACTTTTCACAACAAAAAAACTAATTATCCTTTAACATTAATTAATATTTCAGTTTCTTTTGAACAATGGACTTAATCATAATATGGAAGTCAGCTTAAAAATGACCAGCTGTTTTGTTTGCAGATGAAAGTAACTGCAACCAATTTTGTCTTTAAATTATGAATAGGGAAGGGAATGGGAAAAGATAAATTCACTCCTTTCATATGGGATAAAAGTTTTGCACTAAAATAGTCAAACACAGAGAAACCTGAAAAGTCACTTTAGCTTTAAATAAATTTCTGATATATCTATTATATTGTGCATTGAAATCCTAAATCAATCTTTGCTAAAATAGTAGAAATTTATAATAGGCAACAAGAAACTCAGACTCTGAAAAATTGGAAGGATGGTATGATTACCAAGAAGTTGAGTTCTTAGCCAACAAAAATCAGTGAAACTTGCTTCATTCCTTATTAACATTTACTTAAGACCCAGTGAGAGCCAACTATTATCTTTCTTTGAAATACGGACTTCAAGTACAAGCACATTTATTGTACATTTCTACTGTTTTAAAAATGCTGAGTTTGCTAGGTTATTAGAAAGAGTCACATTACCTGTCCTGATGTTTTAAACTTTATATAATTGGCTTTGGTTATAATTGAACTGAGACCCTCAGTTAATGAGTAAATGAACTTCTATAAACTAAGGGTGTGACATCTGTGTTATTTCAATTCTTGTTTGGTGAGACAAGCCACTCTATATGCAAACTGAACTGAGAAAGCCAAATCTTCTATAATGGAAACACCTACATCTGGCTCCAAGGACAAAGAGCTTTAGAATTTGTCCAAGGAAGTAGATGATGTAAGGAAAAATGTTAGTAATAGGAAGAGAGATACACAAACAGTTTTGGGAGGGCATATTATACAATAATAATAGTAAAGTGTGATGAATTAGCTACATAAACCTTTTGCGTACAATAATTCAAGATTTGCCCATGTCTAAGAGGCATTGTTTTTTAACAACATAGAACTGTGTAACAAAAAAGATAAAGTATACCAAATGGCAGAAATACATGTAAACAGTATTGATATTTTCAATGTTTCATTCAACTTTTTCCATACAAAAATGTTAGTTACAAGAATCAATGAGGAAGAACGAGGCCTTCCAAGGAGAACAAAGTCTTTCAGCCACACAACAGTCAACTCCAAGGCATTATGAAAAGTTTATAACAGTATTTTACGTCTTAAAATTGAATGCAAAATAAAGCTCTAGACAGGTTCTAAGAAGAAAATAAGAGCTGTGTGCAGATTTGAAAAACCGCTTCATAACTGAATCACAGTAAGACTGGCACATTACAAATGCAAGAAGGAGTTAGCAGGGTACGAGCAATGGCCTTGGAAAAGACACAGGTAATTGCTCATTCCCAGGAAAGAGTAAAAATCTGATCTAGATCGTTGGGATAGAGTTTTATACAAAACTGTTCAAGCTGGCCTGGAATACTATGGTTGGGAACTCCGAGCTGCTTAGGTCTATGTTACATTCACTATTTAATCTAGGCTTAAATCCTGTTTGTTCTCCTTGGTTTACGGTGAATGAAGAGAGACTGGTATCATGTGCATGCAAAGCTCTTTGAGCAGCTCCAAAGAAAAGCATTTTTTGTACTGTACACACACCATGTGCATTATATAAAGACTGTATTTACAGTACTCAGAATCTTGAGCAAATAAACAGTAAAATCATTGCTTAATTTCTGTTAGTATTAAAACATAAGTGCACACAATTTGCAAAGTTTGGAGATGAGAGCGCTTCTACCACGCCCACATGGCTGTGTTTCAATTCATACCTGATTCAAGCCCATTAAAAGGAGATGTGGGGCATTCTCTGAGCCTGAGATGCCATGATATCTCCTGCATATTTTAACCAAAAGCATAGGGAAGAGGCTTTGTGTTACTTAAACCTGGAGGCAAATGACAACAAGGCAGTGTTCCACTTCACCTTTACTGCAAAGACACTGGACACCATGGGCCAGAATGAACTGTATCTGTTTTAAAGGCAAGAATGACCAGACTTGCTTTGGCTAATTTGGCCATGGCTCTCAGGCTCCTGACATACTGTCAGGCTTCATCAGGCAAAGTTTCTGTGCCAAGGGGTTCTAATTTTATTCTGTGGCAAAGAAGTTACATGGGAATTACCAAAAAAGGTAGCTTTTACCTCTCAGCTTGCCTGAGAGAGAAAGTGCAACTCCAGAGTAATTCAACTTTCATGTTCATATTGATTTGGTGTGTGAACAAAGGAAGAACTGGGTCACTATCATACAATCTTATCCTTTAAACTCCTCTCCCTCTCCCGACCTTTTTTTATTTTTTTGAAAAACCCCATCATTTGAAAGGGTCAAAATGAAAATGAAATACACAACTTGTACACAGGAGTTAGGCACTGTTTAGTTCTAACATTGGATCCTATTTTTGCAATCTGTGATGATTCTGCCACTAGAGTAGAATTTGCTTTAAGGGTAGAAAACTTGCTGCTTTTCTCTCCCTTCTTCCCCAATGGCAAACCTCTGCAACAAAGTAAGAGACTACATTAGATGCAGAGACGAATGGCAAAAAGTTTCTCTGTCTTCCCAGAATACAGGAAGATCTACAAAGCTTCCAGTTCTGACAGGAAATAGTTTTTGACACATCTTAACTATTTCCCCTCTTTTTAATATTTTGGTGCCATGGTTACTCCGCTAGCTAACATTCTCTCTCTGTTTTTACCCCTATCTTATCTTTTGACTAAGGTTTCCTGACACATTGACACTTAATCAAAGAATTACATCTTTTTAAAGAAAAATTTAAGATTACAGGTTATTCAGATGAATATGCACACAGTTATATAGACTACAGCAGGCTAGAGCGTTTTACAGTTGTGGTTATATGAGGAAGTGGGACAGAGGCTGCATCCAGTTAAGTGACTCTCAGTCCCCAGAGAGTCATAATTTTAAGGCTGTCTGGAACACGGTGGCTTTTACCCATATCGCATGTTCCCCAGTGCAAATGTGCATCAGCCATTCCAATTCTCTTGGTACAGTACGTGCATTCAGGCAATGGAAGATAAAACAGCAATCAGAACAGCATATTCACTTGAGAGGAAAAACAAACAAACGAAACAGAGCGATCATAATATCCAAGAAAAAAAGGTCTTTTATCTCCCCCCACACACATCAGTGGAATACACGAGCCCCATTAAGAATGCAACAGTTAAGTGGGCAATTATATGGTGTTTTGGTACAAGGCAAGTCTCTCCATATTCAAGCAATCACTTTATTAATAAGCCAAATTATTTGTTCACACATGGAAAATCACTGAAGAGAAAATGTGAATTCCATTGATGGAAAAGAAGTGTAGACAAATAAAGAAAAGCCCTGAAAAGGTGTTGGAGTAATGCTCACCTGATTTTCTGAAACCAAGAAAGAGCTTTTGTTCCCACAGAATTAGATGCTCAGCACATCTTAAAACCAGTCTATTTATTAGGAGAAATCTAGATGCAGAATCTTAACCTTACGCATCCAGATTTGACATTTTTGGCTGCAGTATATACCTTATTAATTTTAAACAAATGAACCCCAACAAACTAAACCACAAAAGTAAAGGAATTTTAAAAACTATACTGACTCCTAACTTAACATATGCATTAGTTTGCAAAGTCTTTTTTTGCACAGTTCTTCAGTAATTGACATGTACAGTACAAAGAACTATGAAGAACTAAAATATGAACACTTCAGTCTGCAAGAAGCTAATGCATATTTGGTATATATTAAGACGCAATGTATCTGCCAATTAGAGGATGACATTTCTACAATCTAGAGTGATTTTCTTCCCACAGATACTAATGGACTGCACTGGTTATTAATTCTTGATTTTTATTTTGAATGAATAATAGATCTCTGATTCTGTTTTTTTTTAAAAAGCAAAGTAATCCTACTCCAATGGACTCAGGGTGTATTATGAATGTCCCAAGTCAATCAATAACTGTGCAGAAATGTTTCATTTGGTAAAACTTTCCGGGTGAATGTTTATTCAGAAGCTGCTTATAAAAGTGGCTGTTGGTAGGATCTGGAAGGAAGAGTAGAATTAAATAGGGAGGGATAGTGTTATACCAAAATATATAAAGAAAAATTTAAAGCTTTTCAATTAAAAAAAAAAAAAATTATATTCAACTCACATTAGATATAGATGTGCACAACAGACAGAGCAGTTAGAAACAACAAGTACATTTACAAAGCTTTCTTTTCATGGTTAACTTCTACCAGCATTTCTGAAGGTAACCTACTAAAATGATGACCCTGTTTATAATAAAGGCGCAAAATATTGCTCTGTAGCATATTTTGAAAATAATATAAAAATAATTTCTATATTACAATTTAAACTTGGCTTGTAAAATTCCAACATAATACAGCCTTAAGTCTACAAACAGAACATACTTACAAACACCTTTGTGTTGTTTTCCTCTCATTTATAACAATATAGTCTTTTAGTCATATACACTGGAAATTAATGTGCAAATTAAAATAGATACTAGTGTCTGTTACTGAAATAATTTAAATTCTATGCTATATACTGTTTGGTGATTCTCTGCGTAAGCTGCCATACCCTAAAACAAATACTCTTCAAATACACTGACAGAGACTTAAAATACACTAAGCTGAAAAGCCATCTACAATCAGCATCAGTTATTTTGCTTCTCTGGACCTATGTTTATTTGAGATTATTGTGGTTTCTATAAACATATGGGTTTTTACCAGTGCAAAACATTCCCAGTGTTATGAAGACCTTACTCCCTCACTAGCTCATACTTTACTTTCACATTCAGCTTGCAAGTATTTTGTGTATCCATGAAGCACCTGGCTTAAGGCCCCCGCTACTACTGGGATTCTGTCTGCAGATAGCAGAGGAGCGCAGCTTTAGCCCAGAGGCCTAAGGCTTTCCTCTACTCTTCAGACAAAATTCTCATTGACTCTCTTGTTGGCAGAGTAACGTCAGGCAGCTGGAGGGGAACAAACACTGTCTAAAGGCTCAGGCCTTGATCCCACAAACATTTAAGCTTTTTCTTAACAGTTATGTTAAGTTTCTGAAATTAAGCAGTCTCCTTGATGTCAGGGAGACTATTCATATTGGTGAAGTTCAGCACCAGTGTAACTGTTTGCAGAATCAGAGAGTTAGAGGGCAGTATTTTGTCAGATCTGTGCTGTGCATTTTTTGATATCTACACGTTCATCACACGAGAAGTAGATTACCCTGAATACGCCTATATGTACAAGGACTGATATTGCCTCAGCAGACTGCTTTGATCTGCAGTCAAATGGTGCACAAATCCACACTAAGCTTCTGTATCAAGTAACTGCTCACATAATGAGTTTTGCAATTTTAGAAAAGACAGCTCTAAAGACTTCACTTGGCCTATTTAGACTTCCTAAGAAATAAGCAACACGAAACTTTCCAAGTACAGCATCTTTCTTTCACTGATCCTCTTAATCTTACCTTTGACTAAGGAAGAAGGAACTAATTGCTAAAGAAGGCTGGGTCACACACTGTATTTCCATTGCATTTATAGAGCTTAATGGACCATAAAACCAAAAGGTTAATCAACTGTTTTAAAATCCAAAATATCTGAAGTTGCTTTTGATAATCTACGTGACCTTCTTCTGAATGAGCTGCTTGTTAGCCATATGCTACAACTGATACCCAAATCTGAAAAAATACTTGTAAAGTCTAATGGTAGTTTATTACTTTTTTATAAATGAAACTTTAATATAAAGTGTGACTGAAACCCATTATGTATTACAGGTGTCCACTGTTATGAAGAGACCTTTGTATCAGTTTATGAACAGTTAAAAAACTGCATAATAGGTTTAAGCCTTTTTTTTTTTTTTAATTAGAAAAATTGCACATATTAAAAAAAAATCCAGCTTCCTCCAACTTAAATATCTCCTGGTAAATTTGGATCTACTCTGGGAAGGTGTAGCCTACCCAGGATTTAGTCCATACTTTCAAAATCTGCACAACAGTGGTAACTGAATCACTATCAAGGAGAGAGGGGAAAAAAGCACATACATACAAATGCAAAAATATGCACATGTATTGCAGCCACTTGAGCTAACAGAAAAAATTAATTGGGTCCTCTTAAACCAAAACTGATTTCTGTACAGCTGGGACTAAGTGGTAACTCTAACAAACTCTGGAAGGTATAGGGAAGGCAGATCAGGCACAGAACAGGACTTGCTGGCCTGTGGGCTACATATGCTTTCGATGTAAGGAAAGATAAACTAAGAACAGGCAAAGGTTAGCCATAGTGCAACAAAAAAATACATTTGAAGATTATTCCTTCTAACAGCTAGCTAAGAAATTACAATTTCTTTCAGTGCTGGTGAATTGAACTTATAAGCAGTTGGGAGTTCTCTCTGAAAAAAATTAGGTAGAAAATTTCCTCTTACAGCTAGACTCTTCTTTTAATGGGACAATCACTTCTTCAGGGGGAGGCACTGCTTCTGCATGTCTGGACTGTTTAATACCTACTATGGTATCCCCTTTAGACAACTGCCACAAATAGCTCAGAAATAAAAAAAGAAGAAAAAAATCACAGTATTACTTATCCAGAAAACAGGACAACTACTGAGAAAATATGGGTAGATTTTAACTGGCAAATTGTGTTGTGGGCCTGGAAATTCTTTTCAGTGCTAAGGGACGAGAGAATAGTAGGATATTTAAAGAGATTTCTAAAAGAAAACAGCAATATTAAGCAAATCACTCAAAGATGTACCAAGAAAAGGATTCTAAGGAAACATGCACAACTAAAAAGTGTTCTGTCAGTATTTCATATAACAGATATTTTAAAATGAGCAATCCAGTAATGGTAAATATTCGTGGAAGTATCTGAGTGACTCGAGGATGATGGTGAACACTGAAGTTTGGTATTCTATACAGACAAGCCTATTATTATTCAGAAGACCAATTAATTTTTCAAAATAATCGAACATAAAGGTACAATCTATCCAGTATTTTAGAAGAGAGTAATTTATTGAAATATTGACCAGCTATAAAACCTCTATTGTGTGAGTAGTAGATCTTAAAAACATACTATAGAAACAACTCTTGAAAAATGTGAAACAGCAAATTCTCATGGTAATTGCCTGTTTTTACATATGTGCTGTTACTTTTTTCCTCATTCAGAAATGACACAACTGACTTAAATACATGGACCAGTGTAGTTTGCTGCTAATGTAATAATTCTTAAGCACAACTTTATCAAGAAGCAATTCTTAGAGTATCAAATGCTACTGCTACTCTAATGCTCTAAGAACCCTTAAATATTTCTTTTTTTCATGAAATTTTATCTTGTCAGTTTTCTCAGTCTCAGCAACAAATACCATCAAGTACGATATTTGATTTGTTTTAATACGATCTGGCTTGTTTTAGCATAATCTGCAATCACAGACTTCTTTGGCAATGAGAATTTACATGTAATCGCAAGAGCTAACTAGAAAAGGACACTGCTTATTAGTGGATGCAACCGGAGACATGGGTTTCAGAATGTGCTTACCTTAAGTACAGAAGTCATGTGGAGTCTTAACCTCTCACTACGCATACCAGTATCTCCCTTTTATGAAGGAAGACAAAGTCAGTTACATTCAGTGTATGCTCAGTATATGTCAAGAAATAGACATACAGGTTTGGATTCATGGAACAGCTAACATGGCAAAGACCATGACTTTTTAGGAGCGGCTAATGGACTTTGAAACTATTCTTTAAATCTCCCATTCATCAGAAAACCTAAAGATACCGTCAATTTTAAGTGCGTGCTCAGTTCCACAAATTCCAGTGGGACATAAGCAAAAGCTTACGTGCTTTTCCTGAAAGCCAGTACACATCAGCGTATCTTGTTTCACAGACTACTTTAGGCTTGGTTTCAAGGCTAACTAGAATTAGCTGTACTCAAGTGAAGTGGTGCCACCCATGTCAAGAGTGAAAATTGGGGTACAGCAGAAAAGAACCAAAAACAAAGGCTCTTTGGCAAAGAATCTTTCCTGTGCAGGCCAGAAAAGTGCTATTCCATCATGAGTAAGGCAAAACTCATATTCTGCACCTTTAGGTAGCAGAGTAAGCAGTCCTGAAGGCAGTACTTCAACTATTTGTAGAAAATGAGGGTTTGTTTTTTTAAACAAAAGTGGGTAGACATTAAATGAGCCATTGCTTACAAGTGTAACACTGAAGATCTATTCTTACAACATTATGTCACTCGATGGTAGAAGGGTGCAAAACCTGCAAGTACTATATACAAGAAGACTTCCTAATGTCATACATCTCCTTTAACAGTATTTGTGGTGTCTACTTTACAGATATGTTTCCATGAGCAAAGTTTTATTTTCAAAGGTATTGCAAATACTTTTATAAAGATCAGGATATCAGACGTGCAAATCTGTGCTCAGAGTTGCCATTCATACCAGAGGTATTCTGCAGCCATCTCGGAACATCCTGGTGGGTACAACTCACTCTAGAAGACTCAAAAATAGGTAGAGCCAATGCTCTTCCAGAGAGGTTCAGAAGTAGTTATATTTACAATAACTATCACTCAATAATGTTGAGAAAGGAATAAATAAATCATTATTAAATTCTTGCAATGGTTAAGGGAATCAATTGATCTAATACAATTGTTTTGACAAGCAGTTCATTCAGCTCTAAAATGATCTTAAATTTCCTAGCTGGTCATCAAATTTTCCAAATCTAGTAACATTTTTATATTTCAATTTTATTTTAACATTTCTCTGAATTTTAACAGCAATGAAAATACTACTGAAATTCAGGTGCCCAAAACTATACTGTGTGCGTTTTTTTTGTGACGTGAAGTCTTGCAAGTCATAATGTATTTTTTCTAAAATCTGTTTAAAAATTCAGTACAAATAAAAGTGGCTCAAATCTACTTTTTAATGGAAATGCAGAAATAACTGGTAAGAACTTAAAATTAGAGCTACAGCCCTCAAATTCAGACCTTTCACTCCCATTTTCCCAGAATCATTCCCTTTCAGACTGAATTGAGTACAAATGTTAGTAGTAATGCAATATGCTGCCATGTTAAAAATGTGCAGTATGCAAAATCACTACCCTCCTGAAAAAAAAGGCTATGAAAAATTTAGGTTTTACTGAGGAAAAAATACTCTCATAATAGCTATAGAATTTCAAATGTTGCAAGGCAGATACTACCCTATTACAACACCACATCTTCGGTATTATGACTTTCCCCTATCATTCTACTACCTGAGTGATGTCAGTGTAAATTCAGGCACCATTAGTAAATTTTTGACCAAACATATACACAGCACTGACAAAGGAGTAAACAACCCTTCAGCTTACCAGTATATGTAAAAAAGACACTGACAAAATGGAAAATAATATTTTTTTATGATAAATTAATCCTATTATTTCATCATTGCCCCGGAAAAGCGAAAAGCTAGACACTATTTACTCATCAATCCTTTATTCTTTTTTTAAGGATTCCTTTTACTGCAATTCAACACTGTTTACTTTGTAAGTAAGAAAATGGTAAAACTAAGTAGTCACGGAAGAATCCTCAATGCCTGTGTCCCTTGCTTTCTCTCTCCCTGCGCTTTAACTCTTCTTTGTAGCAGTATGAACAGTAATTTTCAGTCTCAGGACGACCATAAAAGGAACAGTTCTCCTTCTTACAGCGGTTCTGCTGGATGGAATATATTGGGCAAACTGTGCTTCTGCCTTGAATTTTATCATTGTTCAACCAGGTCTGAGGAGCATCCTCATCAGCATATTCTAAGCAGTCTCTAATATCGCCAGTATTGAATCCATTTGTGTATGTCTGAGACTTGTGTTCAGTAGGCATGGCATAGCTCAGCGATTCCACGGTGTTCACTGTGCGGATACCGGATATCCGGGCTGGGCTGTAGCTTTGAGAAGACAGTGATCTGTTTTGTTGGGGGTAGGTGGCACAGGTTTTTAAGGTGCCAACCACTGGCTTGTAGGTATCGTCTTGGAAGCTCGATGGCTTGGAGTTGACATCATGCAAATGGATGACACTTTGCCTTTGAACAGGTGGCGTATGGCTATAGTGGGCAGATACCGGAATGGGTCCACTTTTCTTAGCACCATTACTAGGTGAAGAAAATGACCCAGGAGTGGGACTAGTGCGATCTTTAAATTTTAAAACCAGTTGAGTTGTATGGCTTTGAGGCAAGACGGGTGATGCCCTATCCTGAGGAGATGTTTCTAATTTTTCTTTTGAATATGCTTCTGGCTCCAGTTTCCTACTAGATGACCCATTCAGTGCAGCCTTTTTCTCAGCATCCTTTCTTTTTTGTTCCTGTTCTGCATTGAAACGCTCCTGTGCACTGGTCAGGTAATAGCCTATCATCTCCTCGTGGAACTGATGCCTATGACTGGTCAAGAGAAGGCCAGCAAAAATAAACTTTCGTTCCCCCTGCATGGCAGCTCTCAAAATATTTAGGCTGAGTTTCACATCAGTGCTGTACTTCCATGGGTCAGCCTGCTTGTCAGAGGAGGATTTAGTGTTCATCTTCTCAATGGGTGAGTTGCTAGCTCTGTCAGTTGGAGATGGAGTGGTCTTTTCAGATGGAGAAGTGCTTGCAGACTGTCCAGATTCCTCTTTGCTCCCTTTTCGAGACTTAGACTTCTTCTCTTTGACCTTCTCTACTGCGTCACCATTTTTTCCATTCCCTGAATTGGTTCTGCTCATTTTGCCATGCACCAGACCTCCAAGACCACCCATGTTCTTTTTCAGTTTAATTCCCAAGGTTTTACTGAGGCTTCCTATTTTATTGGCAACTGAATCCGTCCTGGTTTTGTCTTTATCCTTCCTCTGTTTGTCCTTTTCTTTTTCTTTACTGTTTTTGCCATTATTGCCATTGGAATTACTACAGATGGAATCTCGGTCCGAGTCCATTGAGTCAGCCAGGGACTGAACATCTTCCCCGGCTGAAGCTGTAGGGGATTCTGGTTGAGCCAAAGGGGCCTGCTATGGAAAAGTAATTATAATTAGATACAGCAAAATCAGTTTCAAACAGGGACTTGATGCAAAAAAACCCCAAATCCAATATAGATCAACACTGATTTTAAATGGACTTTTAAATTTATTTGCTGACATTTTAGACTCCTTTCTTCACCAAATAAAGCTTATTTGGCTGTGCAGACTATGTTTCTTGCTTGTTCCTACTGTAGCTTTTGGCTCATTTCAAGCACATTTGTAGAATAGAGGTCAGTCATTCAGAGGTTCTGTGAAAATCAGTGTCTGAATAATGGAGAGATGCGAGTTAGTGCTCCTGTCGAGGGGGAGGCTGCAGCACAACCTCCCTGCTTGTGTTGGCCAGCTGAGTGGCTGGCCAGCACACAGAGATGGGCCACTCAGCAGGAAGCATCTACAGTACAGGCTGCTGCTCAGCCAGGGCGGGAGACAGAGAGCATGGAAAGAAATGGATAATATTGTGATGGAGGGGAAATGAGGTTCTGCTGAAAGCTGTGAGGGGGATGCAGCACGCAAACCTGGATGTAGCAATATTCCAAAATTCATTACGTTCAAAACCCAACTTATTGAAATCGATTTCTTCATTTTTTAGGTCTCTGGTGCGTGAAAATCAAAGGTACGATGCACCAGAGCTAAACATCTTGCCTGAAATATTAAACCTTAAACTTCAGCAAGTAGACTGAGGAATAAAATGAGGTGTATTTATTCTTACTGGAAATACAGTGGAGATAAAACTGGTGTCAGAAGTCTGAGTTCCAATTTATATTTTAGGTAAGGTGATAAAACATCTATCTTGCAAATGCAATAATGAGGATCCCCTGGATACTATAAACGTGGCTCAGTTCATTTATTCCTGCAAAACTCAGTCTTGCTTTCAGGCACCATGAAGCTAAAATCTGCTAGACATAAACATGAAACATGTAACTAACCATAATGACTCAGAGAAAAAAAAAAAAAAAAAAAAAATCTTTGGAGATGTGTATACTTCCAGTATAGAAATGCATGCCTGCTTCTTGCCCCTGGGTACTTAAATGTCCTCTATCTCTCTGGAATCCCTGAGCACCCCACCACCCAGTCAGGAGCAGAGCTGTTATCCCCACCTGGCAAAGGAAGAAACGAGTGCTAAAGGGACCTGACCACGCTCCTGTGGCAGGCGTGAAGCAGGGAGAGGTAGCCCAGGTCCCACAAGGTTCAGGCTCACAGCCTACAACTACAGGACCATTTTGCCTCTACTTTTTCCGATGTGGTAGCTACCACTGTAGAAACTGTAGAAAAATGGATTTTTCCCCTCTTGCAGCTTGTTAAATGCTTTCTCCTTTTGTTCCAGTCCTCCTTTCAAATCCCATCTGTGTAGGCTGTCTAAATCAGCTCCATCCTCTCCTAGCAACCTTTTGCCTCCAGACTAACCCCTAAATGTATTCAATGTAATTTGCAGAGAAATTTGCAGCTGACTAGGTGCCAGCTGGGCATGGTTCTGAAATAGCTTTCTGAAAGAACCAGGCTCCAGTTCAGCGCCAGTCTGTGGCCTTTTGTCAGCCACTCTAAACTGGGAGCTGTCCATGGGTGCAAATGTATTCTCAGAAAGAGAAAGGACTTGGGATGGGTGACCTAACAGTGGCATTAGGAGAGCAAGCCAAAGTTCTGAGAAAACAACGGTGAGAAAAAGTCTATTTTAAGGTTTTTCTGAACTACATGGACTACTGAAATAAGTAACGGAAAGATTAAGCTAGAAAATACATTTGAGAACAGAGTATGAATTGCAAAAAATATGCAAGCAACTGTGTTATTAAAACAAATAACTAGAAAAAAATTGTAAGCCTGATTGCAATGACAATGAGCCATGAGTGACTTGTCCCTGCTGCTAAGACGCTGAGGTGTTTCCAGGCAGCTGGCCAGTCCAGGCAGCTTACCCTACACAGCACCCTGTCGTGCCTCCTATCTCTCATTTTGTTCAGACCGAGGGGGTAGTTTACCTTACCCGTGTCTCAGATGGTATGCGTATCCAGGTTACATTCATATAGCTGTGTAGAAGATTAAGCTTTGCCTCAAGAGACAGAATCAAGCTAAGGATAAAAAAAAGAAAGGAACAATCAGTCAAAAAGCTTGAAAGAAATCCTTCTTTACAGAAAGAGATGTAGCAGCAGTCTGAATGATGACCATCATCTGGAGACCCACCCATGTCTCTTCCCATGTAACCAGAGGACATGAACAAAGCCCTCTCTGTTAGCAGTTCTCCCAATACTTCAGTCAGGTATGGCTCAAGACATTTTACTGCTTAACACTAAAGTTACAGAAAGGTCTTACTTGGCCAGTCTGGTGTTATCATTGTCATCTTTTCCCCACTCCCAGTCTTTCCCAGGATCAACCGCAAAGTGCAAAGGCAGTAACTTGTGTTCAGAGTCAGTCAGAGGGATCACCGCTGAAGTAAAGAAACAAGGATTGGGGTGGGGGGGACAAAAATGACAAATTATTCAGCTGTGAAAAGCAGTAAAACTGGTTGAAGAAGTGCAGAATTTGAATGTGCTGCAGTATTGTTTCATCCAGACCACCGCAAATGATTTATACCAGGCTCCCTTTCCCTACTTTGATGTTTGTGCAATAGAAGAGGAGAGGGAGAAGTTAATACACTGATTGTTCCTGGAGTGAAAAATAGTCACCTGTGGAGGAGGGGAGACCTCTGGGAGAACACCACTGTCATTCTGCAATGCACAATAAACATTCCCTGGAGAAAGAGCCATTAGAATAGCAGAAAGCAATAAAAAATTGAAATATTCCTGCCTGTTTCTCACACAGATGCACATACTTGTTAATTATTTTGTCTTTTCAGTTTAGTACCTTTTTGTTTTCCACTGTCAAAGAAACAAAAATATATTGGTAACAGCATTAAGAAACACAGCAAAAAGCAGTTACAGTGCTTTTGGACTCAATCTGAATTAACGTAATTGAGGAGCATAGATCAACTTATATCTGGGTTAAGAGGTCAGTGTGAGGCCTGTCTTGAGTGCAGTGCAAAGACCATTACTGCTGTTACATCCCAGCATTACTGGCTGGCTGTCCTGGCTCTTCTGTCCTTTCCCCTCTCTGCTAGGGCTCTGCCTTCTCGTACATAACTTAATGACTCTGCTTTATACTCAGCATGCAGGGACTGCACTCTGATTTTACAGAGTGTCTATCATTCGTCACCAGCAAGAAACTAAGATAAAAACACTGTCAGCTTTAATTAAAGCCAGAAATCTGTTTCCATTTCATTAGGAAAAAAAAAGTAAAAGCTGTTGAGGGACTGGGTGGAATCCTCAGCATGGTGCAGGTCACTGCTACTCCTCTGACAACCGATCAAGGAATTTCATTTTCTATACTGGAACCCATAAGGACTTTGCTAGGTATTCATCCCAGCAAAGCCAAAGGGAAAAGAAACCTGGAGAAATCACCCAAACATCATGGCACTGAATTATTGAAAATTGATGGCGCTTACTGGTTATATGCTGTTTATAATCTTTCCTGCAGTTCAGAAAACATGTTGTCAAAACAAAGGTATAGCATTTTTGGTTAAATATTGTTCTTCACCTAGCAGAATGCAGGAAGTTTAACCTGCATTGTAGATTAACAGTGTGAAGTCATTATTTAGTTCAGACAGTCTGACAACAACTGCAGAAAGTATATATATATTTTCATCTTTGCAGACTGGAAATAAAAAGGTCAAATCTCTAGAAATTTAATGAAAATGTTGCCCCCTACTGCTTAGTGTAGGTAATTCTTGAAATACTTTCCCCATATTAACTGCAAATATAGTATAGAACAGCTGAAGATGAATCAACTGTAGTTGCAGATACCAGTGTAAGATGCAAGCACATAAATTAATATTGTAAGAGAATTCATCTCCTTTAAGAAACTCAATATGAGTAAGTAGCAGAGAGAGTCTGACTCTACAGTTCAAAATACACTGCAAATTGAGCTCCTGAACCACAAGAATGTAGGAAATTTACAGCAGACATGACAACTGAATACACTTTTTAACACTTACTGGTGTAATATGAGGGGTTACCGTGCTGCATTCAATGAAATTGTTGCAACAAAGGGGCTAGAATAACTGAGAGCACAATTAACCGATCACGTTTCCCAAAGAAAACACATATTCTGCCAATTAACTGGATTACCAGCAGGTACTGACCTCACAAAGCAATATATCAACCTCCTAAAGGAAGAAGACAACTTGGAAAAGATCAGCATTATAAGTTTACAGCACAACACTTGCAATTCTGGTAGCACCTGACCTTACAGGCACAGCCTGGTAGAGAACTGGGAACGTGATCCTGAGGCAGGTGATGTTGGGAAGCCTGGACCAAAAAACTGTCACAGAGTTGAATTGGTCTCTTTTGGATATAAACCTCAAAAAGTAAATTTGAGTTTCTTTTCTAAGGACAGCTTGAAGCTAACTAGCTTTCACAGAGTTCAATAAATAATCATATTTATCAACAGATTTTAAAGGAATTCTTTTTAAAGCCGTCTATTTCTACTGATACTGAAAATATGCCTGTTAAAAATGTTTAGTGATACTCAATTTTATGAAATACTTAAGTACAAAACAAAACTCAGAGCTGATTGTCTATAGCACATCACTGGTGTTTTAACTTATGTATACATTATGACACATGATGTCTCCATTTTCACAAAGAAATTTTTTAAGTATTATTTTTCAGGCTCTGAGTTGAATGAAAACGGTATACTCATTCTAAGGCATAGTCCGAGGTTGGTATGAAGCACTGCCATCTTCATGTAAAAAGTATCTGCTAAAGTAATAGAGTTTTAAAATTCTATCTTCACTGCAAGAGATTTCTTCTCTCTCAGGGTAGGATTTCCCCATGTTTCCGACATGAAAGTATTTTAATGACAGGACTGCAAGCAGGATCCATCGCATTAATTTCTAAAGCAAACCCAACAGATTGCAGCATCTTCCCGATGCCCAGCCACATCAGGAAGTTTGCAACTCTGATGTGGTAGTTAGGCTGCACTTGGTTTTGGCTGCTCTCTAGCTGAAACCACACTATTTAAAACACAGCCTACAAATCCTAATGCCAACAGCTGAGATATGTCAAAAGTAAGAGCAGTTATTTTGTCCAAGGCAGTTTTAAGACATTCAGTGAGGACTTTCATGCCATTCTCCAGTTGGGTGTATTGCCTTCTGTGCTGTGAAGTCATAGTGTTTCCCAGCACTCATCTTCATGCCTCAAGTGTCATTACTGATCTTCTATAAAGAACACTTCAACTATTTCTGAAAATACTAGTAAAATAAAATGCTAACACAGATACTGACATATTGCTGTTAAAAACCACTGTCACACCTCTCACACTTGTTATTGCAAACTGATTGTAGGAGGCCATTTCACTGTTGACTGGCTGAAAAAGCACAAGAGTGTGGGAAGCTCTCAGTTCAACAAAGCAGTCTTAGGGGGAGTTGGGAGCTGGTCTTTATTTTCCATAAAAAATACACAAAACACCTGCATAACTATAACCTGCATGAGTACAGAAGTATTCACAGGTTTTTAATCAGACGTTGTGGATTTCAAAACAAGACAGCCTTTGGTGACCATCAGAATGCCAGATATGTGCTGGTAGAAAGAAGACATGTCAAAAAGTGTTTTAAATGCTCTCCAGACAAGAGGATGTTAGCATGTTTTCTTTCTTCATATACATTTATAGTAGTGCTCAAAATGATCTGATAAACAACTGTAAGTCAAAGCAGAACCTGGCATCAGCAGTTTCACATCACCGTTTATTTGACCACACATATTTCACAAATATAGGACATACTGTCTTTTCCACTAGAGAGCTTCTCAGCAGCTTAAACAGATATGTATGTACATGCAGTAGTTCAGACAGCTTCAGATGCTGTTCCTGACATCCAGTTAGAGAATAAATATTATGACTATAATTATGAACAACCTGGCTATCAGAGGTGCTCCTCTTCAGAAGTTGTATCTCTAAGCTGTCAGCTGGATTCTGATAGTTCAAAATTTGGCCATGTACTGTGGCACCTGTGCCACTGTTTTCTGACTCAGTAACTGTGACTCTCCTTTCCTCTGTGACAAAGCTGCTAACATCTCTGTGATGACAAGCTACAAAAAATAGGCATTATGAGAGCATCCTTGTGCCAATCTATTTCCTGTCACAGCATCTGAAGAACAATAGCAATGCTGTGGTTGCTGTTAGACTGTTGCAGTCTCTAACAGCAACCAGCTTGGCAGCTGAAAGCTAAAGCATTCGCTTCATCCCAGACTCAGTGCCAAGTACTCTCTGCTGCTCCACAGAATTGAAGCCTGTGTATTCAAGGCCCTGCAGTAAAACATGTAAAATTGGATCATACAAAACAAATACTATTTTGATTCAACAACCCTTGTAATTAACCTGGATGAACTTACGTTACTGATGCTGTGCTGGATATTTGGTAGCTTGTTCCCTCCCGACACCTCTCCTGGGCGACTACAGGTGTAGGAAAATCCTACAGAAAGTCAGCTTCTAACCCCAAGAAGTATATTAACTTTATTGCTAGCACTTACAGGAGGAATCAATTATGTGACTTTATCAAACCCAAGATCTTGCAGTGTGCAACTAACAGGAATATATGGCTTGTAATATTAGGAAACTTTCAGAAGGTGGCACCAAGCTGTACCACCGAATACTCTAACACATACTAAGAGGTAGCGTCAGAGCAGCTAAACAGTAGTTTCCCTCACTACCTTTTGCCAATCCTGTCACTTAGAGGATGCCACAACAGCAAGAGGTTCCGTGGGTGGTGGTTACTCTGTCTGCAAAGTTATTGCAGAGATAGTCAAGTTCTGTGTATTCAATCAAATTCTTTATGCACATAGGCTCTTTTAAGGCCTGTGATAATGAAGTACTGTATGAAGGCAGATAGACGTGCCTGAAATAAATGAGGATACTGCCAGTCTACTAATATTATTCTGATTCCGATTGTTAGAAAGGAAGAAATACTCTACCTAATCAAGAAATTGTCTTGTTTCACCACCAACAGAACTCAGACCTAAAAAGAATTAAGACCAAATCCTACAACAATGCATGTCCTACAACAAGGCAACTCTACAATTTATAACACAGACACATATGCAGGAGCTCCTAATTTAATAGCACATTGACATTACAGTCCTGGCTCCAGTGTATCATCAGCAACCATCAACAATGAACCAGTATCTTTAAAAGGCTCTCCAAATCTCCATCTTCATTCATATTCGCATTATTGCATTAAAATGGTACACATTTGCTTTGCCAATTTCATTTCTCACAAGGTGTTTCACATCATACCTCAGTGTACTGCTTTGGAAATGGTTCCTATGTGAAAATCATCTTCCTAAGGGCTGCTCTGCTAGAGATGGCGGGCTGGAAGGCAGCTGCAGTGTCCCAGTGTGTAATGCAAAGGCCAGACCCATCGCCAAGCACCTACTTTCAAATCCCCGAAATAGCTATGTGCCACTGAAGGCTGAATAGTTGGACTGGGTTGATTTTCCCATTGAAGAGCTGACATCTAGATCAACCTTTTTCTCCACTTGTGTCTTATGATTCAGCCTCCTCCTCACCAACACAAAGTTTGCCAATATGCAACCCTTTGTAGAGTGTTTCCCATCTCACACAACCTCATGTAAAAAAATCTCTGCTCTTTCCAAGGATGATTTAACTAGATGTAGACATCTTCATGCGATAATTTGACAACAAAATCTGCTGTTCAAGAGTTTCTTTCCTTCTTTGCATCATTTTAATGAACTTCTTTCTCTCTACTTTGCACAGCTGCAGCACGCTGACTGTCTCATAAGCATGGAAAACGCCTAATACATCCAAAATCAGACGAAATGCACATAGGGTTAGGGAATTAAATGAAGGATATTTAGTTGCCTCTAAACTACTGTCTAAGAAGGAGGACTAAATGAAATTCACTTAGGAGATCTCAACAACCAGCACACATTCCATGTATACTTTCAGGTACATGCATTCATAAGGGATTTAAAACACCTCTGTAGCATCATCAGGCAAAAAAAAAGGAAGACTTACAGCAAAGCTCCACTGAATTTTTCTAAAGCCTCAACATGTTTTTGGCAAAACACTTTTCCGTTCCCCACAAAAGGAGCGAAGACAGATAGGAATTAATCTCACAGCTTTCTATTATTAAGCAAAGAGGTCTTACAAATAAGGGCAGTTGTAGCTAGCTCCTAGGCTACTGATGCAGGAACAAATCTAGTCCTGCAGCTCTTGTCACTCTCAGTCCCATATACAGGAAGTTCAAACTCGACACAGAAATATCTGGCCAGACTTTGCTGTAGGTGTTCCGAAGTAAAACAGAAGACAGCAAGATGATAAGATAAAAACATTTCAGCCAAGTGTTTTTAAGTAAGAAAAGTGCATTTAGCACACAAGAAGAGAGATTTTTCCATTACATAGATTTTCAATAGTAGTCTGACTCACACTTAATCTTCTAAACACTTTATTAACCCAAATTAAAAAAGGGCTTCAAGTACCCAGAAGCACAGTGGGTAACTATGATTATACCTATTTACATATATGGAACTGACCAAAAAGGTTTAAGTGCCAAAGACAGACAGCGATGCCACATGGATTAGGACTGAAGAGCTCTTGGCTCCCAGTCTTGTGATTAGACCACTTAGACTCCTAAGAACGCAGCAATAAAATTTAGTGGTTATGGTTTCCTTTCTGATAGATAAATATACATACAGGTAGAAGAAAGTAATTTCTGCATTGTAGTCAATATATACCCTCGGGTTGTTTTGTTTATAGCATACCTTGTTCTCTCTGTTGATCTTTTTGTTCCATGGAAACAAGAGCAGAGAAATGAGCCTGATCATAGGCTAGCACAAGAGGTGAGCAATGGCATCTGTTAGGTAGAACTTCAAGTGGCAAATAAATTCCTCCAAATGGTATAGGTGCAAATGCTGCAAAGAAAAATTAGATTTTTTTTTTTTTTAACTATGTCAAAGAACAGACAATAACATTGGTTCTATTGTATGTAACAAGTGTGCTACATGTTCAGAGCTCCAGAAGAGCAGTTTAAAGTGGAGTAATCAATGCAGAAAATAGCCATAACAACAGGTAAAATTCTGTTATTTTACCATTATATATCAGGAAATATACTAAACAATAATGAAAACATTCTGCTCTTACATATACTTGCCTTGCTCTAACTGTTTACTAGTAAAGACATTAAGGTCTCATAACAAAATCTTGATGACTCTCACACATGTATGCAGATTTGTACCTTTCTGTAATACTTCTAGGTAGAAGGATATTTTCTAATAATCAGCAGTAAATACACTATCAGTTCTTTTGGTAACATAACCTGCTTATGTCTTGCATTAACAGTTTTCTATAAGAAACATTACAAACATGTTTACAGTCCACATCCACGTCATCACAGTCATCATATATGTAATGAATGTATATATAATGCTTACAAGGAAAGATTAAAAAAAATTTACAAGCAGAATTGGAATGGGATGCTGCATCTGTAAGAGCAAAGCACTTTCCTTTGAAAGATACTACACTTGTTTATATATAATTATGGGAAACAGCAAGTTTGGGCAGGAAAATTTTCTCAACATGTTTGCTTCTGATCAATTATTCTTCCTTTCAATGTGAAAATATGAATCCTTATTGCTGAAATAATTCCATAATGAGCATAAGGAAAAAGTAAAGCCAAACATTGCACTGTTTTTACTAGAGACTTTTTCTTTTGGAGAGGTCAGATCTTCTGTATCCAGACTTCAGGATAGAGAACAGTATTAGTTTTGAGGCATAAATCTACATTTCGGTGAGTCTATCCAAATTTGACCAAGTTTTTAGTCTTTCTGAAAGCCTGTACTTTAAACATACGAGAGTTAAACTGAGGTAATTTGATCATATTGGTTGATGGGGCCAGCAGTGAGAAAAACACCGGGATTATTGCGACAGAATCAGATTGGGTCCAGGAGGAGAAACTGCTGGAGGAGGGCAATTTGGGCTAGGAAAATTTAAGAGAAAATGAAGCAGTAGTGATCGAGTCTGTCAGAGCAGATAGCAATTGCACAACCATTACTTGTAGTTCACAATTTAAATGGAAACTGAAATTACCCAGCATTTCATTGTGCAAGTAAATTTCTGTAAACTCCATCATGTGTTTAACATCCTCCTTTAATCAACCAAACATTCCCCTTTACTTAAGCAACATACTATCATTAATCAGTATTATATTAGTTCATGGTAAAAATGGAGAGAGATTAATTTAATCACGCCAGTCCTGATCAGACAGTTGTCTGGCTGGCACCACATATAGATCTAACATTTGTGTGCTCACATGTGCAAACTGAATAAAACATTCTGGAAGCTTTTGAAGGCTGCAAAGAATTATTAAAAACGAAAAGCCAAGATATACACATTAAAAATTCAATTTTTCAAAGTCAGATTAGATTGATTTAAGCAGTGTTTTAAGGGGCACCAAAATAACACAGCAAAATTAGAACCTTGTTAACCTACATCAGTAAGAAATGCATTGTGTTCTGTAATTCGGTGGTTGTTAAGTTAACAGTAAATATGTAGGATAAACTGATTTTCAGTGAGACTTACATAATTGTCCTGTGTTTTTAACTTTTATCTAATAGAAATATTAGATAAAATCAATAATATCAGAATTGAATATCATTCTGCTCTTTTTTTTCCTTCCCCCCCCCCCCATAAAAAGGCAGCAGCTATCCCATAAACAATCAGATATGTTACAGCTGTTTGTGACAGTTTACGATTGAGTCAATTAACATAGACACATAATTTTCTAGTTAAAAACTCTTACCTTCTCCCCCTGAGTCTCGTAACATTGTGTCTGCTACTACAACAATAGGTCTTCTCAAAATATGGGCTAAGACAAAAACATGGAACTCTTCCAAGCTCTCATACACTGGATCTTCTGCATTATCGACTCTGGAAGACACAGCATTGAAACTTTTGGAACCAACTTGAACCAGCCATTCAAACTTTACTGAACAAACACATTGCAGCATCTATTTCTTCTTCCTTGTCACTCATATGCCCATGCTTCTGTAACACATATTCCAATTATTGAAATAGGAAATGCAATAAATTGGAAAGGAAAATATACATTACTATTATTTTATTTCCAAAAAGGAGAAAATGTTTTCACTTTCAGACTCCACACTAGTTTCATAGTCAGCAAAATTCATTTCTTTCGGATATTGTCTGCTAACCTAGTGGGAATAAAAAAGGTAATTCTTAGCTGAGGTCCTGATGTAAATCTGCTTTTGTCACAAAAATCACAATTTCACGTGACACCCTTGGCACATAGACTACAATGAGAGGTAAGTGTTTGTCTAGTTCCTCTAAACAAAATACAGGTGAGCATACCCTGGCAATGTAAGAAACATTCATGTCAGCTTGAGTAGGAGGAATTTAACTTATCAAGCTGCCAGCTTTTTTCCTCTGATTATTACCAAAACATATTTTTTTAAGATAGAGATGGGTAGCTATGTAAGGAACTGGAGATTCATTTTCCTATTAGATTTTCCAATAAGATTAATTTCACCTACTTGCAGACATCTAAAATCAGAAGTCTAATCATTTCACCTTGCCTGCCTCTGCAGATAACAAAAAAAAAGATAGGCACATCTGGAAGTAGGATCATCCCTCTCCTCTTAAGCATTTGTCCAAAGAGGAGATGAAAATTCTTATTTCTCTTTAGAGAATACAGAAGGAACCTAGGTCAAAATGTAGTTAGGTGAGACAAGACCAAGCATTTTTATCACTGGAATTTTGTGTTTCAGAAAACACACAGAAAGAATCAATAGAAGTATCCTGTACGGTAGGAGAGCAGAACATAAATTTCAAACAGTAAGACAGCACTGTGGAGAAACCCAAGTCTTTTCTTTACACTGGCCTTCTATAGGTCTGATCCAAATACCACAGGAATTAATGAAAATCTTGCCACTCTTTTAATCTAGCTGAAGCAGATACAGAGCACTTCAAAAGAGGAGTGATAATATTTATTTTTTAGAATAAAATAAATGTTTTATTGAGGAGTACTCCATAGGTCTAAACAGAGTTAATCCTCAACCAGCTTCACAATGAGCAAGTAATTTCAGACAAGGACAAAAAAATGCTGTTCTTGGAAGGAATTTAAAACCAAACCAAATCAAAACAAAAACTTCCATAATTAACTGTCAATTTTCATTATGTGTGAAAAGTAGTGACTGAGCATAACTGTATGGGCACGGCTCTAGAATATGTGGGACAAACAGCAAGCTTCTCACAGGTCTGATGGCATTCAGCCCATCTCCGGAACTTCACATTAAAATCTTTCATGCCAACCTAGGAGCCCAGCAGGATGTAAATTATTAACAGTAGGCTGGATACAGGACACAAATTCTCTGATCAAACAGTGAGACACCTCTCCTGTTCTGTATCCTTCTTGCCGTTACCCAAACCCATCAGAAAATTTTTCCTGATGTTCAAACTAAATTCCCCATTTTGTAATTTCCTTTCATATTCCTTACTGAATTCTTCTCCGTTGTTGGCTGCAACAGCTTGTCAGTATTTGCAGTCCATTATGTCAGCCTCAGAGTAATTTGTTAGCCAAAAGGAAGTTAGAAGAATCATCTTACTGGCAAGACAATATGCTACAAAGATTTCCAGCTATCTTCTCTCATTAGTATTTCCAGACTATCAGTCCTACAGTTTTTCTTCTAATCCTCTAATTATTTCTCATCTCCTAGTTAATGAGGTTTCTAGAAGTGAAAGGGATATTCCAGATATGCCTTTGGTCAGCTGATGTCAAGCTTGACTGTACATGAAGTCCAAAATTCCACTGGGCTTTTTCAGTCTTCAATATCACATCACCAAGTTGCTTGATTCACTATTTATGATCATATTCACACATTTCAAAACCTTCTCTTCTATTACGCATCTGTTTTCCATTGCCAATTTTCACAGAATCACACAGTGGTTGAGGTTGGAAGGGACCTCTGGAGGTCACCTTGTCCAACACCCCTGGTTCAGGTAGGACCACCTAGAGCCAGCTGACCAGGACCATGTCCAGACAGCTTTTGAACATCTCCAAGGAAGAAGACTTCAGAGCCTCTAGGGGAATCCTTTTCAATGTCCAATTTTATTTCATCACTGCCAGTAATTCATGGGGGCCATTGTACATTATTTCAGTGCCACTGCTGAGGATTCAGTAGGAATTTTCCTAAAGATTAATGATAATGAAAAATCATCATTAACAAGTATCCATAACAACCTGCCACATCCTTTGATCCACTTACCATTCCACTTTTTTTCATGGACTTTTATTTATGCTAACTACATTGCCATGAAAATTATGGATTAAAAATAATTTTGTCACTATAACAGAAGCAAAGGAATTTAAGAATCTGAAATTAATTCCTTTGTTCATGTAAAGTTAATTTTAAAATAATGAAATCCACATAAGTAAGAGCATACAAATCTGCATTGCAGAATCCTACTCAACCAGGGCACTCTGACTAAAGAATTTATCTTGACTGTAACAACAAATTAACAAAAAAGGAAAAAAAAAAAACAACCAAACCAACTCTCCACCTCAGTGTATCCTACAGGACCACTGACACCTCAAATCCAAACAGCGTGGACACTTACTCACCACTCCAAAGAGATTCTCTCTCTTAGGGAAAATCCAATTTGTACTGCAGCCAGTAATAAAAGAACCTCAAAAAGCTGAAATGGGAAAGTCACCTACCCTGCTCTTCCACCTGGCTATCTGCTGACTGTTCCTCTCTTTTGCCTGTAAAGTCTGAGCTAGATTTGTTTTCACGTTTTTGGATTTCCTTCTAAACAGCTCCCTATGCTAACTTTGCTTTTCTTTTCCATACACATGCTCCAGATTCTGTTTGTCCAACAGACTCATAACAGCTATTCCAAGTTTAGATTGAATTTCAGGACTCACAAAGAGCAAGACTCCAATGCCTGCTAACAGCTGAGATGTACTGAAAGAGCATGACAAGTAGCAAGTTCTTCAACCTGGTGATTAGGTACAAGCATGAGACCAGAACAAAAACTGAGTTCATCTCTTGATCTGCCACCATTCCATTTCTGAAACATCTTTCTTCCCTGCTTAGGAATCCCCAAATTAAAACCAACATACACCACAGCCACAGCTTGCTAGCACGTACAAGTTTCTGCAGTAAGTAGGTGTAGGAAGTTATCCATTGATTTCCCTACACTGTATTTCAGCCATGAGCTTCAACTCAAAAAATTGCACAGTAGTGGGACATTTCCCTTCTTCGGGGAAAAAAAATAAATGGTATACTGCATTAACTAAAGGACATACATGATGTGAATGTTTCAAGTTCCTATTTTTATCTCCCAGTCTTAAAAAATATCAATACTTTTTTCTCAGGCAAAACCAATATATGGGAAGCAGTTTTGAAGGCATATAATAAAAGAGAAGACCTAAATCAGATTTCCCTAGATTATTTTGGTTTGAGTGTTATTTTGTATTTAATTGTGTGGGAATGCATGCTTTTGTATAAAACACCTTCTGTGGCATGTGAGATGCAGCCACCTGTCAAATAAGAAATATCTTGACTTCAAGAAATACTTGTTAAATAAGGGAACACCTAATCACCGTGCAGATACTAGTACTTAATTTTAATATGACATAAGTCTGATCCCTCCTTTGCCTTGAATTTTATCTTCTAGAGTCTGTGGGATATCCACTGTTTTCAGATCTGACAGACTGCCTGAACTAGCAAATTTGAATCACCATGGCAATTTGATTATTTCCAGGCTGCATCTGGCTTAAGTATAATTTACATCATCTGAAAATAGGCCAGATGAAAAGATTTATTCGCCATCAGAAACGTCAGCTAATAAGGAAAAGATATACTGCTATTATTAACCTTTTTCTATCTGCATCCTATAATTGCTGCATATACTGAACATTTAAAAAAGGAATACCACTCCTATAATAGATACCCAGATCAAATAAAAATAGTTTTAAAGCAATGTCTTTGTTAAATGATCTAAACTAAATTCTTTACAAGACAAGGATCTTTGATGGATGCAGTGGTTTTGTACGAAAAACTGTATGTTGAAATACTGTGAATACCTAACCAAGTCCAAAACCTCAGAAATTACCTGCATTGGAGAGGTACTTCCTGTTTAACTGTTCCAGTTTTCTGCCTTAACTAAAACTCTAATGACACATGGAAAGATTACAGCATTATTGCCTCTCACCTTCCTCATTTAAAATCACTTGACCTTATCACTAAGATGGTGCCAAGAGCATATGAGACAGCTAGCTAGAAGGTGACAGTTAATACTAAACAAGAATACTATCCACTTTCAAAATCTCTACTAGCTCACACCACGACACAACACAACATCTAGCTTTCAGCTCTACTAGGTTTTCAAGAACAACAGTGATATTCAATCCAGCACTAGAACAGGCTTTGAAATCTCTGACTGACAATAGTTTGCAAAACGAAGGAATAGGTTGGAATTATCTCTTCAGCAGGATTGCAGTAGTTCCCTGGTTTTGGCTGGGGTAGAGTTAATAAAAACAGAGGGTACAAGACATTTTCCTCTTTTTCAAAGCAGTTGTTTCAATTCAGTACCCCTGGTTTTGCTTGTAAATGGAGTTAAATGAAACAATTATGTTAATCTGAAATTTATCTTTTACATTTACAGAAAGATGTGCAAATTTGTTTCAAAACAAGAATCTGCTTCATAGTTATTTAGTTTGCTCTGCTATAGTGCTTGAAGGATTGGAAACAAGAACTTAAGAAGCGGGTTTTTCTGTGTTCCCTTTATCTTCTTTCTTTCCAACTTTCAAGCCTCAGAATGAGAGTGCTCTCAAGAAGAAATCTTTGGAGATTTAGTGACAATTGTGGATCTCCCTTCCATGTAGTTGACTGAAAAATAATTAAAAGGAACTTGCAGGTGAATGAGATGGCATAATTCCAGATCTAGGCTTGTCACTGTATTCTTTTGAAGCAGATACAACTTCTGATGCTTCAGCTAATTCTGACACCAAAGGAAGGTGTCTCACCTACAGTTCAAAGACTAATTTGCAAGCTTTCTTAATACAGCACCTAACTAGAGAACATAATATACCCCATCTGTCGTGGTTTGAGCCTGGTTGGCAACCAACCACCACAGCTGGTCACCCTCCCTTCCCCCTCCCCACCTGGGAATGGGGGAGGGAATTAGAGGGGTGAAGGGAGACTCAGGCTGAGATAGGAACAGTTTAATAATGGCAATAAAACGAGAACAATGATGATGATGATAGAAAAAATAAGAAATATATAAACAGGCAATGCACAATGCAATTGCTCACCACTTGCTGACCAATACCCAGCCCGTTCCCGGCCACCGACCCCAAGATACCAAGATCCCGCAGTCGCAATCCCGGAAGCGAGAGAGAGAGAGAGAGAGAGCCCCTTCCCAACCACCCCTCCTCTGTATAGTGAGCATGACGTTCCATGATGTGGAATATTTCACTGGCCAGTTTGGGTCTGGTGCTCTGGCCGTGCTCCCTCCCTGTGCCCTTGCGCACGGGTAGGACATGAGGAGTTGGAGAGTCCTTGAAGTCTCAGCAGCAGCTGAAAACATCAGTGTGCTATCAGCATTCTTCTCATACCAAACCCAAAGCTAAATCCAAAACACAGCACTCATCTAGTTCCTGAAAAGGAATATTAACTCTATTTCAGCCCAAACCAGGACACCATCTAAAAAAATACTATTTTGATATTTGTTTTCCTTCTGAAGCACTCCATTTTGAACATGGGTACATTAAACTTAGAAAATAATTCATTCTGTCTTTGGAATGACTGTAAAGAGAAATACATATTCACATGTTTAATAGGTTAAGTTTCTTGTCTGATTCCTCTTTCACTGTTTTAAAGTAAAAACTAACTGTTGTCTATTTATCCTTTATTTTGATTTGCGAAAAGATAAATGCAAACATGATGAGAATATTAAAAACAATTTAAATTAATTCTTGATGTAATAGCGATACTCCCTGTTTAAGTATCTGAGAACTAAAGATAAAGATGGTTGATTGACTGGCAAATACAACGTTTGAGGACATCTCTGACTGGTAGATACTGAAACTACATAGTATGTGAAAAGTACAGAAGGAAACAAACAGAGTAAGTCCAGAGAAAAGTGGTGGTGAATGGCCAAACTTAATTGAAATGTGAATTGAACTGCATTAGAAGAGTAAAGCGTATCAATGGGAAAATATCTACAGACATAGGAAACAAACCAGAGAGTAAGATGAAAACCAATCTATTTTATCTACTTTTTTTAGCCTCAAAAGAGGAGAAAATGAGACATGTTAAGACTGACAATTTTCTAACCAGTGTCCTTGTGCATTAGTAGAATTACCTATCCTTGACATCACAGGGTTAAGAGGAAAATATAATATTCCTTCAAATTCTAGAGAATATTTTCTAAAGATTTTATTATTCTCATTGTGTTGAATGCTCTATTTTGTCAATTTACTTATCACCACTCGCAATTTTCTCTAGGGGAAACAGTAGCTAGATAAAACATGCACTGAGTAAACAAACACTAAATATTTTTAGTGATAAACACTAGACACAAAAACTAACATTTCTGCATTTTTACGGCTGGTCAATAATCTATACTTTGGGAACAAATGCACTGAAAGTGAGGGATGGTTTACCATACCAGCTATTTAAAGCAGATTCTCTATATGGATCAGGGGTATTTAAATGTTGTAGACACTATTTCATCCCAAACTTCTTCAGAAATATGTTTCTATCAATTTTTTCCCCAAAAGCTTCTGAACATCTAAACTAAATGCATGCTGGCAGTAAAGTAGGCAGTACTGCATTTTTTTCCGCAGCCATCGTATTTTCCAGCACTGTTTATAATAGGCTAATTGACTAAAATGCTACTAATTGCATATTATACAAAGATTAAACACACATACTAAGCTGGTCTTCAAGAAAACACCTTCCTTGCTTGCCTGTTAGTGCTGGGTAGTAACTGGCAAACATTACAACTTTGCAGAGTATAATCAAAGTAGCTGCTATCAATCATACGGTAACGGAATCAATCTAGATAAACAGGAAATTAGGTAAGAAAAGAAACTGATGTGTTTCTTAGAAATACAGATACTCTATGCAGAACCTTCCAGCAACATCAAACTTCAATAGGATGAGAGTGAATCGGTTTAATTTGAAATAAAATGCCATACAATCCTTAAATAATTCTTGTATTTGAGAGTACTATTTTTGTTACATGGGTTTAATAAAATGTTGAAGAGTCAAAGAAACGACAGCTGTTCCTATCAGTACAGTATTAATTATTGTAATTTTTAGTTACATTTTTTATAACCATTTAAAGATTGAACTATCATATTGATTACTCAGAAGGGTTTCATGAGACTAAAAAGTATAACTCAATATTCTGCTTTCTGTTTAAAAAGACACTGCACCCAAATATTTAATCTTTAGCTTTAATACCAAAAATATTACTTTCTTCCCCCCTGTTTGTTTAGGGTTAACAGCATTTTAAAAGTAGGAATTGTGAAGAGTTACTTGGTGACTTGCCCTCAAAAAAGATCTCTGAAAATTTTCTGTTTGAAGTACAAAGCAAAAAAGGAGCAAAATAAATGTATGAATATGAGAAGATGGCATTAAAGCTGTGCTAAAGCAGAGAAAAGGTGATATCCGGAAACAAACTACTTTCTTCTAGAATGCCATTAGAAGATGCGATGTTATTCTGTCATTCTATGTTTTAGTGAAAATATCTGAGCAGTGGCTATCTTTCTGCTAAGTCTTCCTCAAACGAAAAGGTACGTATCTTCAGTGAGATGAGGCACTTCATCTCCTTGATGCTAAATGTTCCTGCCAACATGCTTCTTCCAGAAACCAAGAAATTAGGATTTACGAAATCCAGACTCTTTTGGATGCAAAGTAACCTCAAGTTATTGTGGTAACTGTACAAGGAAACTTAATCAAAATGATAAATATTACAATAGGATGTTTAAATAATTATATTCTACCATGCAAAAAAATCTCAACCAGTTGAAAATGCAGTTTGATGGTCCTATAAACATCTTAATTCATTTGTACTGTACTGTTTCCCTGCTGAGAACAAAAACTAAAAGCTTTTGTCATACGCTAAACTTACCCACCACCACTGCCTCCATTTTTGCTGAAATGTGTACGAGGCTCACTTGATGCCAGTTTAAGCAGTTCATTCCACTCCCGTTCCCATTCTTCTTCTGTATACACTAAACCTGACTATGGGAGAGAATGAAATACCTTTATGATTATGCTGGTACAAAATGTAAGCAGAATTCTGTAATAGTATTTATGGCTAACTTATTTTGAGCTTCATGATACAGTTTAATATCTTGGATCATTAGTGGTTCAACGTTTCTACTCAGGTGAAAGATTTTTAACTTATTAAAAAAAATATCTAAACCACTAACTATATACTGGATTACGTTTCTAGATGTGGATCTGCTGCTGATAACACAGTGCTCCACTACTGGAGATCCAGTTATTTATACCCATGTGAATTCCCTGCAACCGTGGTTAGCATGCTTTACTGCCCATCTCTGGAGGTTTGCTTTCTTCCCCAATATCTGGAATTACTATGAACGTCCTCCTTGGCAGACAGGTCATGCTTTCTCCCTCTGTTCAAGAGCAGAAAGGGTATATAACTGATTCTGGGGCCCTGTATTTTCAGGTAGTCTGAAGTAGCCAAGTCAGTCACAGCTCAGCTGTACTCTCACTGACTGCTGCCAACAAAAAGAAGATTACAAGTAAGTCACAAATTTAAGCATATGCACTTGATTAGATTCAGGATTACTCCTGAAATTAGCTTTTCTAGCCAGTTTAGGCACAGACATCTGCAGAAAATAATATATGCTGAAGTACAGCTTTTAATCAACAGTCAAACTAAATCTACAGATTATTTCAGTTAAGAAACATTCACTCAGTATTTGGTCACAGCTCTAAGAATCCTAATTCACCATTCTGGGGAATCTTTCCTAAATGGGGCTTTCTCTCTTTTGTGGATTTCATCCACTCATTTTATAATGCTTGGGATAGCTAAATTCTACATTTAATTTTGCAGCCCAAAATTTTCTACAGGTTCCAAACTGATTATAGGGCTTTGTGGACACAAAACTCTGCGTCTTTATGCCCATAAAGCTACAAACACATCTGAATTCTGATACAAAAATTCTAAATACAAGTATCTCTTTCCCCATGCAAAATGGAAGCAAAAGGAATTTGACAGCAATTAAAACATGCACACCAAACTTCACAAGAATGCCTTTGTCCCTAAATAATATTAACAAGACTGTCTTCAGGCCACTGTCATGCGTAACCCCAGCCAGCAACTAAGCACCACACAGCTGCTCACTCCCTCCTCCCCCCTCCCAGTAGGACGAGGAGGAGGAGAATAAATAAATAAAAAAGTAAAACTCACAGGTTGAGATAAGAACAATTTAATAACTAAACTCAACTAAAATACAGTAATAACAATAAATGTAATAATAACAACAATAACAATAGTAGCAAAAAGTAATGTGACAAAAAGAGAGAAATGAAACCAAAGAAAACCCAAGTGATGCACAGTGCAATTGCTCACCACCTGCTGACTGAGGCCGGAGCAGCGATCTGCCCCTCCCAGCCAACTCCCCCCACTTTATATACTGAGCACGACATTCTGTGGTATGGAATAGCCCTTGGGCTAGTTTGGGTCAGCTCTCCTGGCCACACTCCCTCTCAGCTTCTTGTGCACCTGCTCACCAGCAGAGCACAGGAAACTGAAAAATCCTTAACTTAGCAAAAACTAAACCATCAGTGTGCTACCAACATTACTCTCACACTGAATCCAAAACAGAACACTGTACAGCTACTAGAAAGAAAATTAACTCTATCCCAGATGAAACCAGGACAGCCATACAGACCTCCTTATTCTGCTGGGTCTGTTGCCATCTCCATCTTCTTTTTAGCGCTTCCCTTTCAGCTCCACTTCTCATCATAGTATAGAGTGCTTTACGTAAAACAAGGTCCCGGTCATGAAATCCCCACATCCCTAAAGTAGCATGAGACAACATTCAGTTTTAAAGAAGCTATAGTGAAATAGAAATAGTAAGTACTTATACAATTAATATTGCTCTATTAGCTAAAGAAGCATAGCTTATACATTATTTAAGGTTCTCCTTGGCAAATGATTCACTCATCATTTTTAAGGTTTCCTAAAGAAAGTCAATATAGATAAGGTAATGAACAAGAGGAAATTCTAACAAAGTTTAAACTTTCATTAAGAAATGATGAAGAATTTGGGTTGTTCCAGTGTTTGCTTGCAGGTGACTTCAACTCTGCTGCAAGCAATGGAATATGCAGTGCACAGGTTGGTTTTAGCTGTAGTTGCCAACAGAGCTTGCAGGCACAAGAATGCTAATGACAACTGCAGGCACTTTTGTGAATCGCAGATGATACCAACACCCAAAGGCCTCCAACTCTCACAAAGCATGATGGTAAATTCCCTTTGGCTTCAACATCCAACTAGAGAGACAAACAATCAAGATGACTGGAAGTCTAAAAATACAACCAGCAACAGGTTTTCAAGCTCATTTTAAGATAATAAAATGTCTTCATGTAGTCGAGAACAGTAATCTACAACAAAACAGAGCAGAGATCTCACCAAGATGTGCCCAGAGAGCCACGTTTCAGTTACCATATTGTCAGCTGCTAGCATTAAATACGTTTATTTAAGACTTTGCAAGTCAAAATACTCCAAACATTTGCTGCAAATGTTATACAATTCCTCCTAATTAAAAGTGGACAAAGATAAAAGTATCCTTGGAAACAGCTTTTCTTACTACTTCTTTCAAAAAGAAGATACTTCTCAAAATATTAAAAATCCCAGTGTTTTTAAAAAAGTCACCTTTCGGAGTTTTGCTGGTGAAAGATTTTAGCAACTGCAACAAAAAAATACGTTTCCTCATGTCAGGATATAGAAGGTATATCAACGACTTTCAGCTTCACAGGTTTCTATTTATTTGATATGAAGAAAGGCTTCAAAGATCTTGTATTAATCATTAATCAACTAGAAATTATTTTAATTCACCCCAAACTTTTTTTCCCATATACTTAAACTCTACAAGGAACCAGCAGAGATAGTAGCTAGATATTGCATTCCTGAAGACAGCAAGAGAACTGTTCAACAAAAGCAAGAGAATGAATGCAATTCCTCGCCCACAGTGAGCATAATCCTGCAGAAGCACCTGGAATTTGCATGCTCCAGAGCTGTTCAGCTGGGCTCTGTAAGGAAAATGCAAATCACTGGTGTTTATGATACATGTTTTTTGATACTGTTCCAATTATACTTTTTCTATAACCTGATAAAACTTTTACCTTCTTACCTCAAGCATGCCTAAAGCAGAAAATACTTAAGCCAAATTTGAAGAATATTGCTCCAGAATCAGGCTTTTAATGAAAGTCCATGCATCTCTTTGTTTCTGAGCTTTTGCTGGGGATAGAGAAAAGTGGCAAATATTTTTGGCAGAAGGTTTTGTATACAGACTGTCCCTTACCTAAAGATGCAGCATGCAAGAGGCAGTTTCCATCACCTGTTGTAGCCAAGGGAAGAAGGCGTTTGCAGCTTGTACATACTGTAGACCACCAATTTAGTCGTCCTGAAAAGAAAGCATCTATTAAAATGGTGGACTGAATGCTAAAACAGGATGTGTACTGTGTACAGGCCTACAGTGATGATGCATGATGTTGAAGGTTAATCATGAACTTCCTTTCTGCCAATTAAACTCAAATGTAATGTCAGAAATTAAAACTAGAAAGATTAGAAATAAGAGGCAGATAAATGTATCTGGAATAAGAAGAAAGCACCTTTAATTTGCATCTTCCATTCTCATATACTGCATTCAGGGATGGATTTTCAAGGAGTTCACTGCCTAAATATCACTACGGGTCTTATTATCTATCGGTCCCCAAACATAATTGACATTGGCCTCCCATACACAGATGACAAATTATGTTACAGTAATAAAGTCTCAAAAGAGACAAGTAATATGTATGTGTTAATCAAGATATGTTACTGGTAGGTAAGTTTATTAAATACTATTGCTTCATCAGATGGATTGTTTCAACAGCTTATTCTCCACTCATTTACCACAGTGTAAATCATGATTAGACCTACTAAGATCAACAGATACACTACCAGAGAATTAAAATGAGACCAAATGCATAGCCCAAGGTGTGGCTTTTCTCTTTGAGAACCTTTGGAGAACCACTTATCCATCATTGCTACATAAAGCATGTTTTACAGATTATAAAACAGAGATGGATTATGAGAAAGACCGGCAAGAGGACAGATATTTGATATATGTAGATGAAGCAAATAAAGCCATGAAGTTTATTAGTGCCAAAGCAAACACTGGAAGTACATAATTCCTGGCACGCAGGTTGCCATGTGGCAGCTTACTGGAGTGTTAAGTCTTGCTTAAATGGTCATGTGAATGTTTCTAATATAAAGAAAGAGAACGTGACTAATTGTATAACATCTTTGGGGGTAAGGAAGAACAGATGATTAACAATGATGAGTTGACCTGGTATATTTCCCAGGACTTTTGGAAAGTCTGTGGGTAGTGCACAACTGAATAATTGAATGGATAATGCAAGAGACAGCTTGTGATGACTTCATTTCTTTGTTTGTCCTCTTCTGCAGATTTTTTCTTCCCTGATTCTTTTACTTGCAAGATGAGAGGAGACTGTATCTATATATTTGTCAGTCTTGCATTTAAGAATAAGTCCTCAAAATAGAAATAAGTTCAAGCACTGAAAAAACTTTTCTCCATTAATATGATTTCATTACAAAATTATACTGAATTTTATTTGTAATGGCAGGTAATACCTATTGTGCAAAAAACCCCCTATAACAGTATTTTGACATGGGCCCCCAATGACTTGTTCTGGGTACTAAGAACTATGTGATTAAATTTCAATTAGTCAGTATGGGTTGAGAGTTACTATACTATAAAGATGCACAGCAGATCAATAACTAAAGCACATTTGGCAATCCTCATATGATTCTAGCAGCTAGTTTGTAAATGTCCAACATCTCAGACTAGGTTTATTGAGTTCTAAATTAAATATGCATTAAGGAAGCTTAATTTAAAGTGCTATTGGACAGCCTTTGGGAAAGATAAATCTGAAATAACAAGTTATCATTTTTAGCAACTCCTGTGTCTGTGGGCTGTGAAATAACAACTTGCCACCTGTTTTTTGCAGAATGTTTTGGTGGTATCATATTCAGTAATAACTTATACCAAGGTGCGGCCTAAAGCATAGTTACAAGACCTAAACCAGGCAGACCTTAGGACTTTAGGGAATAAGGAGTGGTATTGCTTTGCCAATTAACTAGCAGCTTATAACTGACTAAAAAGCTTAGCAGAAATGCACTGGATTCTAACAAAAAAAAGTGGTGCATTTTCATTTTTCTAATCTAGTGGTTATAGTGAATCCCTTTAGGGAAACAACAGAAAAATGGAGCTTAAATGAAAACTGGCAACAGTTCTGCCTCAGGCTTATTTCTGTCTGCTTTGATAAGACAGTACTTATGGACAAACTAGACCCACTTCTCACTCTCCATCCCTCTTTTGGTCTCCTACTTGATCTTGCTTCTTACTTTCTCACAGAATCTATTTAATCTTAAAAAACACAATTTCAAGAAATTGACCTGTTGTTTTACAGGAAAAAATACTCTGAGAATTAATATAGCCACGTTCTAGTACATTAAAATTTGATCTTAATTTTAGATCAAGATTTAAAATCCCATCCAGGTCTATGATCTCGCAACATACAGAGGCAGACACAAGCAAACAATAATGCCCTTTGTTTGCATAGTACTTAAGACTTCAGGTGCAAAATCAAAGAACTGTTAACAGGATCTAGTATCCTCCATGGCTGAAGATTGCCAGCTATTTCTGTATTCTGATATTATCCTAGTCCAGCACTACATAGTGTGTATTAGACTTCACATAATACAAAGCATATATTGGCTCCTCCTGCTCCCTTATTTGCAGAGCCCAACAAGAATCAATCATTCTGATACAGAACCAGATAGAGATCTTGTATTCCATGCAAAGAAGGTAAGTTGAATCTCAGAGAAAGCCAATGTTGAAGTATTATTAATATCCACTAGAAAAGTATTTTCATAAGCCTCCATATTGTATTACAAGCCACAGGTGTATTGTTTCTTGCCTCAGGATTTATGGGAGAGAATTGCCAAAGAGGATTCTAGATGGCTGTATGACCCCAATGGCTCAAAAAGGCAGCAGCAGAGAACAGAGGGTGCAATTCAAGAATTAACAAGGGCCAGGTTTGGCTTTCGGTATCAGCCCCGATGCCTATGCAGTGGTACTACAGAAAGTAAGAAAGCATTCAGTATGATGTCCTCTATGCAAAACTCCATTAACAGTACAAACAAGAAGATAAAACTACATAATGGAAATTATTCTAGTTCATGACTATCCTATAAACATACTCACACAGAGCTGCTGCCCTCCAGTTTACTAATCCTTTATAAAATATTCATTGCCCAAACATGCACAAGGTTGCTGGTACACATACAAACCAACCAAATTCAAAACAAACATGAGGTTACATAATACTAAAGAACCTTTATAGAAACTCTGCATAAATCCCTTGCTCCCTCTTCATTTTCTCCAGCTCATATTTTCTTTTTTCTGGTTTAAGCTACTCATAAACTAAATGGCTTTAATGACTTGGGATTCTTCTTCTAGAATTAACCACCAAAAAGTTACAAGGACTTATCAAACAGCAACTTAACATAACTCTCTCTTGACAGTGGAAAAGGATGTGCTACAAAGGATGAGCCCCCTCTCAAGCACTATATAACTGAGTGCAGTTGAAATTTCACCGCAAAGCCAGATTGCACATCACTACCTCCACGGCAAACAGTTTCTTGCCTGCAACACCAGTGTGTATTTATCATATCAAAAGTAAGACAGAATTCTAACAGAAAAAAATGGAATACACATTAATAGAAAACCAAGGATGATTAAAGACGGGAAGAAGTGTGAATTGTGCACAGCTTGTACAATTTTACCTCAGATTGAGTGTGATTGTTTTTTAATGCACTTCAGTGTTATTAACTGTACTCTTTTATATAGCTAAATAAACCAGTCTTAGGCGGCTCCTCAAAAACACTGACAGAGTAGACATCGTACTGAGGAAAACAAGTCAATCTGTGCACAGTGGGACTCAATGTCCAGTTTCCTGGGCTTGTCATACGTGTGGCTAAAGGTGAGACTTCTGGCAGCTTTCCTTTAATTTGTGGCTTGGCAACCTGGAGGTCTTTCACATGTGGATTCTGTAGCGTTTAATAAACAATATTAACATTGCAAGTTTTTCTTCTATGGAAATATTAAAACTAAGCTAATTGCTTATTTTAATTAAACTTGTAAAAGCTTACTCACAAATATGTTTGAAATTGGCAGTTAAATTTGAAAAATAAACAGCGGTACAATCTTAAGAGACAGCTTGCTGACACAAGCTCAGTCTCCTTATGAAATCTGCCTTTCTTTCACTTCTCCAGCACATCGTATTTCCAGAAATCCACCTCTCATCCATCCCCCAAAATGAGCAAGTCACAAAAATAACATTTTCGACTTCCAAAGCAAGTCTATTTCTGGACACGCCATTCATTCTCAAAAGCAATGGCTCACCCTAAACACTCACTAACTCCCCTCTGGAGTCCAACAGCAATAACTGCTCTGGGGTGTGCACAGGACGGGCCGGCTAAGTCAACAGAGGATTACTCAGCCCACTCAGAACAGTCAGACAATTAGCAATAGGTTTAAGAACCTCAAAACCAGATCTCAGCAGAGCTACTTCTATGCTTTACACGTTTCTTACATGACTAGCTAAGAAGATTTGCTTATTTTTACTTTTAGTCCTTTCATACAAGAAATGTGTACTTGCAAGTACTGACATGGAGAAAATTACATGAATAGATTTTGTACATGGGCTTATATTAATCATTCAGTGACTGACTACTTTTTAGAATAAGTAAATAAATAAAGCATTTACCAATACATTTTCTGTACTTCAAAGAAAGGACCTTCTTGTAGGAGCTCTTTCTTTTAGTCTAGATGATGAAATCAGCTTCGCAGTAGCATCTGCAAGGCTATTCATATTTACTGATGTTCTTGAAATGTAATGTTGAGCTGTGCATGTAGAAATAAGTAAAACTGAGCAATCAAGTAAATGCTTCTCTTTTAGCCTGATGCATAAGCAACACAGACTCTGTCACAGAAGCTACTGACCAGAATGCAAATCAAAGATCATAAAATAAGATGGCACAGAGATATATGACTAGGCCTAACAGGCTGCAAATAACTGATGCTGAGGTCAGTTATTTGCAGGTAACTGCAGATGATCCAGTATTACTGGTTTTCTTAATTTCTTTCAGAACCCAACAGACTGTTTTCTATGACATTATTGCATTTCGTCCTAGTCTGTGATACAATATTTGTCATTCATATTAGAACTGAGTTCCAGAAGCATGCATTTCAAAGCCTGGAAATCAGGAAATTAATACAGTTCTTCTGTAATTACACTGGTTGCTATCCTAGCACCCTGCATATAATGTGTGAAACTCTTGTTAAAAATTCTGGAATAAGAAAATGTTTCTACAACCTGAAAAGGCATAAATTTTTCTTCAGCAAAGCTTAATTTTTAAGAGTTTGAAACCAAAGATTTCCAGAATTTTGGTGTACTTGATTTTGGGGATGTGAAACCCAGGATTAAGCAATGTATCACTTTATTTTGCCTGTAGCTGTATAAAATGCACTATAAAAACCACAAACCTGAGCACAGAAAGAAAAGTGTAGGAAAGCAATATTCTTGAAGGTTCACACAGTTTACTTTTAATTTTGGTATTGAAGTATGTTTCAGCACTGTAATGGAAACTTTTTTTTTTTCTTCACTAAAAACACTTGTGTTAGACCAGTCATTCTTCTGCCTATACTATGTTTTTTTGAACTGATCAGTACAGCAGAAGTTGTTTTCATAATATCTCTTTGTGTCAGCCTACACATTAATAACATATGGGGGAACACGTACATATAATGAAAATCAACTTGCTGCAGCAAAATATTTAGAATTATAAAATTCCTTTCACAAGGATTTCATTTAATATTCTCAGTATCTGAGCCACCCTCCACCGAAGAACCACTCAGAGATCAGTCTGCACATGACTTGCAAGCATTCCCATTCAGGCAATAATGAACAGCTGAATTTATAAGATGCACAAAACCCCAAAATGCTTTTATGAATGTGGTGAATTCTATCCTCTAAGAGAAATATTCAGAAAGCAATCACATAAGGGTAGAGGATACATTGCAGCAGCAGAGTAAGTAAATCATACTGCCTTCATCTGGGCCTTTCCTTTATAATCTCACACAGCATTTCTGAGTAAATCAGTAATTTTGCTCTGAGTTTCTATACAGGCAGGATGTAACCTGAACATCCTTTCAATACAGATATAATGGTAGCAATTGCCTAAGCATATAAAAAGAGAATATAAAAACCTTACAGGCTTTTATAGACATCCAGCTCCCATGGCACTTCAGACAACATGCGTGACAGTCGGTCAACAGTAATTTTGCTCTCCTAATTTCCTAATCTACGCTTTGTGAGTAGTTACCTGCTCTAGGTTCCTAACAAAGTTCCTCCTTTTGCTTAATCTGCTTCCCTGTGCTGCCCACACCCCCACCCCCCTTCCTCTTGAAATTCATGCCCTTAAACGCAAGCACACACCTCTCTCTTTTCCTTTAACAATATCCCCAACCTCAGCCACAGAAGCTACTGTCCTTTGTGGGGTTTGTTTTGAAATAGATTTTAGGCTCTCTGCAGGGAATGCACCTTATCTGTTATTTTTTTTTTTATGTCATTGCCTAAACCACAGTCAAACTGGGCCCTGTTGGTAGGAGACAACAAAATGTCTAATGCTAAGTGACTTTCCTATTAATTCACTCTCCTCATTTCAGACAAAAATATGTCTAAAATAGGCAGGCAATAAAAGGAAACTGAATATATCTTCAATAGTGACAAAAGGTCAGCTTATACAAAGTCTTCCATGATTTTCTTAAACATTCACTATTTGATCTATTTGACTTACCTGAACCAAATAACTGTTTCCCGGGAAGTTCCAGTTTATTTGAATTAAATGTTCACATAAGTAAACTAAGTCTGTGTGAGCTACAAGAATACCTGCGATCAAAACCGCAAGCACTTCAAATGGTCAAAACACCCTCCTTTCCACGATGCAAGAGGCTCCGGGAAGGAAGGGACTTTTCCCAGTGTGAGTCAAGCTATTGCCCTAATTAAAGTAACATGAAGAACAGAATAAATGATTTGTTCTAATTTTCAGAGGGATTTGAGAGAGAAATATTAAGCAGCAGCAAATTCAGTAGTTTCTGCAGCCTTATTTCAAGTTCAAAGCCAGACAGCTCTGCATGAATTAAGAAGATGTCAGCTCTAAATTCACATATTCCCTGATTTTAAGGTCAGAAAACCACTGTGATCCTCTAGTTTGTACTCTTGCAGTAACTGATTCTAAAGGCTGTAATCCCACTGAAGAGGGTAGGTCAAAAATGATACTGTGGTAAGGTATTTTCTGATAGCCCTATGGAATTTGGAGTGTTTGGCAAAGCTCCCAGAAGAAGAGCCATCTTGTTCTTATCCTGTCCTTTTTGTGTTAGCTGGTTCCTGCATAAACCAGATATATTTTCTTGATAGGTGACTGAGAGTTTTCATACTCTGTAGTTGCCTGGTAAGCATTCCTGCATTATTTTATACTGCTACTTTTTCCAGAAGGCAGCTTTCTGAATACTGTTTGGTTTTTTTGTTTTTGTTTTTGTTTTGTTTTGTTTTGTTTTTTTTCCTGAAGTATTTACCGTTTGATGCTATTATGTAAGTATGTCTTTCTTTTCAAACATCAAAGCCAAAAAAAAATGTATATGACAATACACGGTAAGTATTCAATGTGACACCAGATTAGCAGAGGTCCTGCCTACATACTATGATACGGTGCCCTGATCTCTAACAAGCGACAGTTTTATTTTTGAACACACACAGTATGACTATGCATGGAGTTTTGAGAATGAACTCTCAGATGTATACACAGTGTTACCCAAGCCACTATAGCAGTCAACAGAAAAAAGCAACTTGCTATTTGATATTCCACAGGCAGCCATGAAATCTGATTTTATTACTCCTTTGTATCACAGTTGGGCATTTCATGGTTCATTAATACACCTGCTATTTCAAAAAGCACTGATACTAATTTTAAATACATTTCCCCATATCTTTCAAAACTGACTTAAAACTTGAAACTACTAATGAATGTGAATTAAAATTAATTTTAAATTTCTTCACTTTTTCCCCATGGTAATAATAAAGTATTACTTCAAAATTATTTAAGTTCTTAGTACAAAAATAATAATCAAAACATAAAATACATACTTAAAAGCTATTTTCTCAAGCTGCAACAGAACTCAGAAATGTTTCCTTTCTTAGTCATTCAATGTAATTTCTCACAAAAACTGGAAGTACCAACCCCCTCCAGACTTACATCCTTCTCTATTGCATGTCTTCCCCACCAGTCCTCCTTTCCTTCCTCCCTCAATTTGTTTTATTAAGTAAATTTGACAGTTTTCTCTATAATATTTTAAAAGAAATAGAGGATCAGGGTATGTGCCATTTTGCAAAGATCACCGTATTTGCTATTACTTTCTGGCATTTATTTCCCATGCAGGATGCACAAGCCCCAGAAATGAAGCATGATTAGAAATGTCAACCAAAATGTCAGATTGCCCAGCTGCTGACACCTGAAGTATTTACCCACCTGCTTGCTCCAAAGCAACCATTGTTGCCTGCTCAATTAAGTCCCGTTCAATGAAGCTTCTGAAATCTTCACTGTACACGCTAAGGTCTGGCAGTTGGAATGTGTAGATGGGCATCTCCAAAGGAAACTGTTCGTTGCTGCACTCATTTGCTACATGTGATCGAGCGAGGGAGACTATGGCTGAGCTGGCATGAGAAATACCTCTGGAAAGGCGCTTTTCTGTAGAGAAACCAGAGATATGATAGCCTGTAAGACTACATGGAAGACCAGCCAGCACTAATTCTGGTGAACACCTGTTCATTTCACTTCAGAATCTATTCCATTTCTTGTTTGGTACCTTTTTTGGGTTATTTCCCCACAGAAAAAGATTGCTTAGTTCTTATTATGGATCCCTATGGCAAGTCATAAGAACTTCACACTCCTTCTAGCAAAATAATTAAACACTACAAGTAACAAGATGTGAAAGACAAATATTTCTATTAATTTTTTTTTCATGTATCTTAAGTTTCCAAAGATGCATTGGAGAAAATGTTTACTGGCAGACTGATGACAATCAATTAAACACTTTGAACCCTTGAATTTTTGTGCATCAAAAAATCCATCATTCTACAATCACTTCATATCAAATGTGCCATACTGTTTTAATCTCAGAATAATCTACCTTAAAGCAATTTTAACATCATTATGCTGAATTTAAGACAAACTCAGTTTTTGTGCATGTGTTTTTAAAATCCTGATCCAAGAAACAGTATGTAGTTTAAAAAATAATGATGACATTAACAAGCCTGGAACAAAAGAATGCTTTATTTTATCAAAGCAACTATGAGCTAATATCTTATAATTTATTAAATTTCTCTGTAGACAAATGCTATATAAGGAGCGGTAAAGGGTCATTAAAGCAAAATAAGCATTAGAATGTTAAGAAAGGGACAAAATATTCCTATTATATCATTTCACTTTACTGTATGACCTCAGTTCTGGTATCAGCAACTGAGTAACACAAATAATCAAGCACTTAAACCATGAATCATTCAGTCAAAACTGGTATTTTCCCCTCTATTTAATTTCTGCCCTGTACTTCTGTTTGTATTTTTAAAAACTGAAATGAAGGTTCTGTAGCTGCTTAAAATATATGTTCATCAAATTTTATTAGTCTTCTCTCTCAGAAGTTTAACATTCAGCGTAAAGTCTGCATCTGAGAAGTGGCATTCCTTAGAACCACGGTACCACTGCCTTTCTGTGCTTCAAACAGACTGACCTCGGGTCTTCCACCAAGTTGCGCTCTCTCTGGCCATCCTTCACAATGGGGATTATTTTCTATTAATACTAGAGTCTCCTGGGCATTTTACTGAGTTGTGTTAGTAAGCTGACACCAGTTTTATGGAGTTTCTTACATTTTTCAATATGCAGAAAGCTTCATGGTGGGATTTACATAATGTTAAGTTAGATAATATTTTCATAGCTTTTCCTTGGAAACGGGTACCTTATCCTACTGGAAGCTTTTATAAAAAACTATTTGGTGTAACATCACCTCTGTAGCTTCATAAATACTCCCATAAACTAGCCTTCAGTGATCAACTCTCAAACTTGTACAATGCCGTATGAAAATAAAAGAAGTTCCTGCAATTATGTGTCTTCAGAAATCAACAAAGAAGTTTACTTAAATGCAACTTATCACTTAAGCTAAGAGGCTTTTTTAAACATCTCAAACTGACCAGAGGTTATTAAAAAATTATTTTTCCTGGAGTTTGTGAACCTTTCTTTCTCTAAAGGATCAAAGTCCTAATTTTAAGAGTTAAGCTGTACTCCCTAAACTATCATAAACTAGGGGGAGGAGTAGAAGGTTTGATTACATTTCCCTTCCTTTCTTCTCCCTGCACGTCTCAGCTAAATCACTGTTAAACAGGGGAACTGAAGTATCGGACAGCATCTCTGTTTGACAACCCCTTGCTACCACTTCATCACCCCCTCCCACCACAGCTCAGCCCTCACCGGTTGGCTGCATCCTCCACTCCAAGTACTTGGTCCATAACAAGACGCTCCTTTCCCTTCTCTGCTCCTCCCTGAACATCCTCCTCACTCCAGTTTCAAGTTGTCGGTTATGTGCTGAACTGGTAGGAAAGCTGCTGACAGTCCAGGCATTTAAAGCCAGGCTTACCACACACTACCTATTACTCCCCCTAAAATATCGAATGACCATTTCAGTGTGAACTGGGCAGTTTACTAACATGGAATGTTAGCGTGAACTATATCCTAAATAGTATAAAGGGGGACAGTATTATCAACTACAGTGTGCTACTCTTCTTCCCTTTATTTGTATTCAGTGCTTTTAAGGAGTCATAAAAACCACTACAGTTCCTTTTCTACTGATGGAAGCTATCAACTTCAAAAAAGCTTTACTGACACACCTAAGTACTGATGCCATTTCCTGTTTAATAGGAGGGAAGAGCCAGCAGAAGGTGCAAACTACAGTTACTTGATAAATCTATGTTAAAGAAAAAAAAAAAAAAAAGGGCATTCCAACACTCTGAGAGAGACAGAGATCTGAAATAAAACCTATAAAAGGTCTGCAAACAAAAAAGCAAATTCTAATGCTTATCATCCTGTACTGCAAATCAACTGCTTAAAGGTAGTTGACTCATTTTTCTTAAGGTTTCAATTTCTACTTGTCAGGGGATAGGAGGTTGTCCTTTCTTCTGTGGAACCCTAAAAGAACAAAATTTTAAAGCTGAATGTTATTAATAGATTTCATACACTCTAATCACATTCTGTGAGTAAGAATGCAAAGATTGAAATATGGATTTTTTTAACCTTTTTTTGGTCTCAATAAGCATAGAAAACTACATACAACAGTGGTGACACCCTCTAATTAATTCCTTTTATATGTACCACAGGACTGCTTGGGGACAAGGCATTTTTGTACTTTAATCCCACATTAAAAAAATAACTTGCAGAACTGAGACAAAGCTCATGACAACTGAAACATATGAAACACAGAGCCCAGCAACAGCCCTGTGAATCCCATCACAATGACACAGTTCACAGGCTGATGGCAAATGACTTCCATCCAACTCCCTGCAGACAAGCACAACTCGCAAGCAGACAAGCTAGAAAGCTGCTTGCCCACAAAAGACCTGGAGAAGAGCTCTTACCTTGAGCAATGTCATCCTGCCTTTGCAGGCAGGGCCGCTCAGCCTTTGTCACCTGGGGAGGCTGCTCTGGCTCCTGTGGCTTGTAGTATTTGCCCTCATTGAACACCTGTGGCAGGTTGGCGGTGTGTACCTGTCGGAGCTGCTCATAGTCATTCAAAGCCGCTGTCAAGTCCCAATTTTTGCCTGCCAAATAAAAAAGAGACATTCTGCTCACATCTGTAGGTGACCAGATTGATAACCTGCAAACCACCTTCATATGCACTCAAAGTTCTTACTTAAAGCATCAGCAAGGAAACAGAGGTTCTTTGGCTAAAACATTTTTATAACCACTCCTCCCTCAACAGAAATGCAGTTGAGAAACACCTTGAAAGTACACAGCAAATGGACAAAGGTAGAAAACTTTGTGTTTCTTTTTAAAAATGTATATTTTAGTTTTCTTTATATCATAATTGGAGAAGACTTCAGGAAAGCTCTAGTTCAACCTCCTGCTTAAAGCAGGGACAGCTATAAGATCAGACTAGGTTGCTCAGGGCTTTATTCAGTTTGATTTTTAAGATGCCAAGGATGGAGACTGTGCAACCTCTCTGGGCAAACTGTTCCCACATTTGACTATCTTCATGGGACCTATCACCACTCTGAACCTCTCTTGTTCCAACCTATACCCCTTGCCCTCCTGCCACACATCACTGTGAAGAGCCCAGCTCCAACTCCCTGGTAACGTTTGTACTAGCACTGGAAGGCTGCTGCTAGATCCCTTCCAAGGCTCCCCATTTCCAGCCTGAACAAGCTCCGCTCCCTCAGTCTCTCCTCACAGAACTTTTGCTCCAGCCCTCAACAACCTTTGTAGCCTTACCCTGAAATCAATCCAATTTATAGATGTCTTCCTTGGACTGGGGGTGGGGGCAAAATTTATACACACTATTATAGATGTCTAATGAGTGATGAGTCGAGAGGTATGAATCACTTCCCTCAGTCTACAGGCTACGGAACTGTTGATATAACTCAGCATATTGCTGGCTTTCCTAGTTGTCAGGGCACACAGCTGGCTCATGTGCAGCTTGCTGGCTACCGAGACCTCCAGGTCATTTTCTGCCAAGCTGACCTCCAGCCCATATCATACAGGGGGTCCTTCTTTTCCAGGTGCAGAGCTCCAGTGTTCATCCTTGTTAAATTTTATCAGGTTCCTGTAGGTCAGTTCCCTCGCTCTGTCTAGGTTCCCCTGAATGGCAGCTCTGCCCCTGAAGACATCAACCAGTTCCTCCCAGTTGGTGTCATCTGCAAACCTGATGTTGCCTCACTGATAAAGACTTTAAACAGGTATACACCCCTAAGGTACAGCATTTGTTACCAGCTTCCAGCTAGAAAGCTATCCATTAACCACCACCCTCTGAGTTGGACCATCGAAACATCTAGTCATCCACCTATCCAAACTATAACATTCAAACTTCAGCATAGCAATATAGTGGGAAACAGTGTCAAAACCTGCTAACCTTGAGGTAGAAAAAGGTAACCACTGCCCTCCTCTCATGCACAAATCCAGACATTTTATCATACAAGGTAGTCAATGTCAGGACTTCCCTTGTTTGGATTCTGCTCAAATGGCTCCAGAAACTGGCAATTTAAGAGAACACTAAATCCCACAGAATTTAACATAAAATAATGAGAGGCAGTAAAGATTCACATCTGTACAGTTGTATTAGTAATAATTAGCAGCAATGACATAAAGACATGACAGTGTTATAGCACAAAAGAATGAGAAACGTTATCTTTCTATTTCAGAGCAGTTAGAATGCAAAATACTTTATCTCCCTTTATCATACATCAGAGAGAACTTGCTCTCTCAGAGATTTTACAAGTCTTTCAGAAAGCAGATAATACAGGACAGTGTTTGGTAACAAAACATGCAGCGAGAGGATTAATTCAGTGTGGTTCCATGTCTGTATGAGCTGCTCATGGAACCTGCCAACACAGAATCCTCCAAAAGAGCTGCTTTCAAGCTCCCACTTCATCATATTGCTGTGACCAGCAGTAACAGAATGCAGGCTAATATCCAGACATAAAGAAATCTGTTTAGTACAGGTGGTGAAATGGTACATGTCACTCTCAAAAACTAATAATGAAAACAATGTTGAGATGTCTGTATGTTATTTTCAAAACAGTCCTGCTAAGTTAAAATACATAGATGTCCTAGCATTCTCTACATACTTGATTTTAATTGGAAAATTACAAATATTCAACAGCAAGAAAAAAGACCCCACTAGTTATATGAGACTTCCACAGCATTCCATGAGCACTTTTTCTGGAAATTCAAAAGTAACCTGGGAATTCAAAAGTAATACATGATTTATTATACCATAAAAGGTTGTCACTTTATGTCCTTTCAGAAGCTACATTACCTGAGTAGCAGTTAAATATAACATATTACCTTACACAAAGGAGAATAAGCTAAAAATAGTACAAAGCAGTTTTCTACAGATAAAATAAAGTCTTTTACTGTTACAGTAATTTCTGTGAAGAAAAAACTAACTGAAGTAGGAAAAAAACCTGCAAACAGGGTTGAGTTAAACTCTCCCAGGTTTTGAAGTACTAAACAAAAATGGGAAAGGAAAATTAGTATCATTGAGCAAGAATGTTATGTACATCTTGAGTAGTCCATAATATAAACTACAATGTCAGTGATATGGAATCATTATATATGTTATGCTGTAATCTTCTATTAGAAAGCCGATAGGACAAAATGTAAATTCAGTGAAAATTGTCAGAGATCCTAGGAACAAGCACTTGACTTATTGCCAGAATTTTTTTTTCTAAAAATCTCATGTAGATTCAATGGCTATAATCCAGTCAGGGCTCTGATCTAACTTTATATATTGTCTGAATCAAATTGCCCAACCCAAACATTGAAGCATCACGAGTGTGTTCCCAAGATCTACATGATCACATATCAGTGTTTGGAACAGGAATTGCTTTGGTCTTGTCTTTAGGAGGCACTTACAATATGTTTTTCAAATCTTGTCAGCCGTTAGGACAATAAAGTAAAACTTAAAAAAAATAAAAAAGTGAAAGTGAGAATAAATATAATTCTAGGAAAGGTATGTTTAAATAAAACAGTATTAGCCATGTATTGGCCATGCTACAAATCCAGCACGACGTGACAGTGAGCAGCAACCTGGGTTTATTCAGTACAGACCCTTGAGCAACAAACCTGTATTAACAGAACACAGAGAGCATTCTTCAAGTGTCAGGGCATTCCTTAAAGGTCACGTGCTCAAAACACTTTCATGTTTAAGTTCAGAAATCTAACAAAAATCACTGTTTATGTGCTGTGAGTGGCTGCTGTGTGACGGGGCTTTAATGTATGTAATAGGAAAGCAGAAAATCAGTAGACTAACAGAAATCCCACTGTCCTTAGTTTTAGGCCAAATGCAATCTTATATAAAAGCTCTATCACAAAAATTACAGTCAGCCTTCAGAAACTAGGCTCATAGTGCATTGCATTTAAAATTAAATTGTGTAGTGACTCTTGAGTTTATGCTCCATGCTACAATGTAGCAACTGAATGTCCAATACAGACATGAAACTATACATAAAATTTTTACATCTAAATGTATCTTATATAGAAATATTTTATTTTCAAATCTCTCCGTCTCCCTAGAGTTGTCCCTGTCTCCTGAACAAAAGCACCAATTCAGCACCAAAGCTTTAAACTTCAGAGAACCAACATAGGAAATGATTATTGGACTCATTTTCCCCAAATTTGCTGGAGCCTCCGAACAACCAAATTAGAGAACATATTAAGCACCTTTCCATCTCCATGAAATAGTGGTTTTGAATACTAGCCATCCTAACTAAGCAGCATAAGTGGTTTCAGCTACTGTCAGTACTGGAAACACGTAAGCTTGCCCCCTTTGACATGGCTTCCACTCATTTTGGTCTATGTTTTCACAAGTAAATACAGGTGACAGACCTTTTGTTTTTCCTGTTGCCCATAAAAAAAAGGACTAAAGAAGAAAATTCGTAAGTCAGAGTAGAGGAAACTGGAGGCAGTGAAGAGAATTAGGGGAAAGGAAGAGACAGAAAAAACAGAGGCATTTCTAAAAGACACTGTGAAGAAATACAAATAAGTACAAAAAATTAATGCAGTGTACAATAACAAAAATAGGTAAACAGATCTAGTAAGTGTGATGTGATATGGACCACAGAAATGGACTGTAGAAGCAATGGACAAGTTGGGAACAAATCAGAATTATTAAATTCAGAGATGTCCAGAGTGGATGATCTGAACAAGGATTTCTAGCACTGTGACATGGCAGGTGAGAAAGTTTCGGCTGGAAGTTACTGAAGAAACTAGTGGAGCTTATGACTGTGGAGATGAATAGAGCTAACTCTGCCTAGCTCTCCTCCTTTAAACTTTGCATACCAAAAGCTTCTGAATTTCTAAAGCTGTATCTTATTACACTCCAAAGTAACTTTTGAAAGAAGAAAAAAACCTGAGGTATGCTCAGGATCAGAAATGTTAAAAATAAATTCATATAACATTGGAATCAAACATATCTCCCCTGGTGCCTCATGGGGTAGGGTCCTTCCTTCAGTCTTGCTACTTGTCCAACAAATTTCAGCAGCCTTCTGGTTTGAAGCAGACTGCATACCTCTGGGTCCCTAGGAAAAGATTTACTCTTTCCATTATCTAAGTTCTGTTCGGACGTCTGTTCCCCATTCTTTTCTGAAATCTCCTAGACCCTGCTCCTCACACCAGTCCCTGCTCTGTCATATCTTTTTCATTTTCTTTAATTGTCATCTCCTGCACAGGCCCTCAACAGAAAGGAACAATCCTTCCCATCCCATAGAGATTACACCTGACTTAAGCACCGACATGCCCTCCATCACAAGGCTGAAGGAAAAGCAACAGGTAATTCATCTATTTTGCATAGTTTCATCAACTAAATTAAGTCAAGTAAGACTTTTGGTTGCAATCTGACAAACAAAAATAACACAAGACTATTTCTGATATTGTCCACTAGTTTTATTTTTTTTTACTGTTACTTATCTGATTCACCCTACTGTTAACTGACTGCTAACTTGTTTATTTATATGACACATAATTGTATTTTAAAAGGTATTTCACAGGCATAACAACATTATTTCAGTACACACAATCACATCAGATGACAAGTCACTGGTAG